AAGACAAAGGAGATGATTGTGGACTACAGGAAAAAAAAAGAGGACTGAGTACGCCCCCATTCTCATCGACGGGGCTGTAGTGGAACAGGTTGAGAGCTTCAAGTTCCTTGGTGTCCACATCACCAATGAACTATCATGGTTCAAACACACCAAGACAGTCGTGAAGAGGGCACGACAAAGCCAATTCCCCCTCAGATCATCAAAAAAGTTATACAGCTGCACCATCGAGAGCATCCTGACTGGTTGCATCACCGCCTGGTATGGCAACTGCTCGGCCTCCGACCGCAAGGCACTACAGAGGGTAGTGCGTATGGCCCAGTACATCACTGGGGCCAAGCTTCCTGCCACCCAGGACCTCTATACCAGGTGGTGTCAGAGGAAGGCCCTCAAAATTGTCAAAGACTCCAGCCACCCTAGTCATAGACTGTTTTCTCTGCTACTGCACGGCAAGCGGTACCGGAGCGCCAAGTCTAGGTCCAAAAGGCTTCTCAACAGCTTCTACCCCCAAGCCATAAGACTCCTGAACAGCTAATCATGGCTACCGGGACTACTTGCATTGCCCCCCAACCCCCACCACATCTTTTTACGCTGCTGCTACTCTTTGTTGTTGTTGTTTTATTTAACTTTTTTTATTAAAAAATAAATGCATTGTTGGTTAAGGGCTGTAAGTATGCATTCCACGGTAATGTCTACCCCTGTTGTATTCGGCGCATGTGGCAAATAAAATTTGATTTGATTTGATTTGAAATCTAACCCTAAACCCTAAAAAAGCATTTTTCCTTCTGGTCCTCACAAGGATAGTAAAAAAAAGTCCCTAAAGTAATGTTTGATCTCCTGAGTGACAGACAGCTGCCAATCCCACCCCAGGTGTGAGTGAAAGTCTTCCTCTCTCTCCTGTCTCTTCCTGTTCTACCCCAGGAAGCAGCTGGACGATCGATGGTCAGAACACAGAGATTCACCACAACGTGTCTCCACTCCACTATCCATCCATTGACCCCCCCCAGGGTGGTTGCACTTGTTGTTGGGGGTTAACTGCCTTGCTCAAGGGCAGAACGGCAGATTACACCTTGCCGGCTCAGGGATTCGAAACAAAGATATTTCGGATACTGGCCCAATGCTCTTAACCACTAGGCTAGCGGTGGATATCCAGCATCCATTTTGTATGATATGTTACGAATTACAATTTGTATGATCTGTTACGAATTGCACTTTGTACAATATGTTACGAATTTGCAAAACGTATGATATGTTACAAATAATGCTAGCTAGGCTAGAGGTTAAGGTTAGGAGTTAGGTTAAAGGGTTAGGTTAGGGTTAGGGGAAGCTAACATGCTAAGTAGTTGCAAAGTTGCTAATTAGCTAAAATGCAACAGTTGTCCATGATGAGATTTGAACACGCAACCTTTGGGTTCCTAGACGTTCACCCATCCAGGCTGACCAACCACCCTACTTTCGTTTTTGCTATAAGTAACCTTCTGTCTAACCATACCAAATGTACCATATCATACTAATTTGAGTGTCCCGGATTTACATTTACTATGTTACGTCTAGTCTAGAAGACCAGGCTGGGAGGTCCAATGGGAATCATATCTGCAAAAAGAGATACCAAAGGATTGTCATAGCATTAACAGAGTTAGATTTTTAAAACACATTCTGATGAGGATGTGTTTGCTTGTCTGTTTGCAGCACCATTATGTATTTTCCTCAGCAGTGACCTTGTTGTTGTGTTCTCTCTCCTCCTGTATTTCTGACATTCAGGTATGTTCTTTTCCCTCTGTTTCTCACCCTCATTTCTTTTACATCTTGCTGTGCTATCACTCCTGTGTGTCCTGAACCCTGCTCCTTGACTGAGCATCAGGGGGAGGTGGGGGGGGGGGTAACAGGGAAGTTAGAGCAGAGCACGATTACTGAGGTGAAGCTGTATCCAGGTCAGCATTTCTTTGCTGCTAGTCTGGGGTGCTGTCCAGCTTTCATCATCTTGGCGACGCCAAAGATGTGTGTGCGTGTGATAGTGAGTGTTTGTCTGCGAGAGTGTGTTAGGAGGTATCAGATTACTGCAGTAAAACCTCGCCCTCAATCCTGGAAGCCTACCTTCTCCTGTCTATGGTGCGATCGCTCCATCTACATCAAGGCTCTGGCACCCTGCCTCACCCTCCTCATCAAACAGGACTGAGAAGCAGTCCTCTCTCTCTCTCTGGTGACCAAAGACTGTACCCCCTGGATGATTTCAATTCCCAGAGGGCCATGCTGCAGCACAATGTGGAACCAGCGATCCAAATGACCCTCTCTCACCTCACTGAGCCCACAGATGAGTCAACCAACCAAATACATAAAATACAATGTAAAGAAAATGCTTCGAGATCTTGTTAAAAGTAAAGAAGATTCAGTACTTCATGTGTAAGTGTGTGACTCAGTAAATGTGTGAATGGGTCAGGAAGTATGGAGTCAGAGTGTATGGATATATTGACAGGTTGAATGAGTCATCCCTTTGTTATTCTCTCCCTGTCTGTTTCAAAGACTAGCAAGTATGAGAGAATACCCTCCGACAGGCCGATCCATGTCCTTCTGCATGTAGATGGATGACTCAACGATTCCTATTTGTCATGGTGCTCAGCAGGGAGGGAAAGGGGTTCCAAAGCACACACGTCACTCAAGGACTGCTCTGTCTGTGTGTGTGTTGCTCCTGTTTCACCTGATTTCATCATCCCTTTCTCCACGCCTCCAATTAAGCCCCACACAGATTCTCTCGTTACACACCGACACACGTTTAGTCAGACACACACACACACACACACGACTAGGCTAGACTAAACCTCCCTTCTGCTCAAGGTTGTTCCGTAGTTATCCTTCCCTCACAACATATTTATATCAAACCATAAACACAACAGCTGCCGACTAACAGACGGCTTTACAATTAACACACACGTCAACGGCAATTACACTGTTAGAGAATTTCATAATGAGGACAGGTTTGCCATCGTGCTTTTCATTGAAAGAAGGTAAACAAGCTACTGCATCTTGAGAGAGACACACACTCAACATGCAGGAGTCTGCCAAGCACACAAGGTTTTCCTGCACCTCAGTGGAAAGGGAAACAAACAAGAGAAAAACTGAAAATAACAATGATGATATGAAAAGGAGAAATGAAAAGCGAGGGAGAGCAGAGGAGAGCGAAGGGGGGAATGCTCTGTGCCTGGAACAGGGCTTAGTGGATTAGCTCCGTCATGCGGCTACGGGGTTGTGTTGGCTGGATGAGGCCTGACTGCCAGGCTGAACACACACACACACACGCATGCATGCATGCATGCACACACGTACACACACGTAGAAACACACACACAAACAGACTCACACACGTACACACAGATAGTCTGGACAGCACAGGGGTGTGTGAGTACACTCTCTTATTACTGTCTAACACTGTCTACCGCTAGGTAGAAGACACACTGACTCACATGATACATACATACATATGTAAGACTATTGTCACACAATGTAGAGGTCTGTGGTGACCTTGCCTACATTAACGACACGGTCATATAGTGTTGTTGTAGGCCATAGAAAATGCCAGAATTCTCCATAAGGATGCGTGAGGTGAGCCATCTACAACCAAACAATGGAATCGCTTTGTACAACCTTGCACTGCTGGCTCAACCTGCAACACACACACACATACATTTGCATGCATGAACATGTGCACTCACACGATCATTTCTTCTGAGCGCAGTGGCACAAAATTGAACTATTCATTATTGTCAACCTTGAGAATTCTATAGCATTTAGAAGGTGTATAGATTAGAGCGCTGATGAGGATTTATTAAGCATTAACACCAGTAGATGGCACCATTGTCCCTTTCATTTTCAATTTGCTTTCCCATTCTTCAGCAGACAGTCACCTGACCTGGACAACACTGACTGGGCTCTCCTCTCCTCAGGAGCCTGTTTGAATACTTTAGAAATGCATCCTTCCTTCCTACCTTACTTGAAGTCATCATGAATCTGAGTTGATTGGATTGGTGGAAGCAATACGGCAGCAGTTTGCTTTCACCTATCCAGTCACTTCTAGATCTGTGCTTAACTCAAGAGAACAAGGAAGGATGCATCTCTGAAGTATTGGACCAGGGCCATGGTCTACCTGTGAGAAGCTGTCCCACAGGTGTTGTTAAGATTGTTGATACAGGCGTTGACTGTGCTGTACCACTGTCTCTAACTCAGGGCATCAGAGCTGTGTCTGTCTATGATCAACAGATGATACTCGTAGTTCAAACATATTTCTCTGTTCCCTTCTACTTTCACAAAAGCTGGTTTGCCTGCCATCAACACTACCACACTACCATTGATCAGCAAAGTGGCTCATTGGGAATGAACCAAACCAGGCCGTAACACGATTGGTGCAGGGCAGTCTTAACCAACCAATCAGTCAGTCAGTCAGCCCACGGAGGTTTGGTTGCGCCCAACACTTGTGGCTTCCATTGATCTGGTGATCCAGTCAATACTGTGACCTTCAAAACGGCTAATGAATATAAAAGTAAAAACAACAATGTGTAGGTGTTAAAGATGTCACTGACGTTCTCTAGAGGGAAGTGATCAATAGTTGAGGAAATGACTGGCGACTGGGTTCTGTGCATTTGCCATTTCTGTCATTTTGATGTTTGTGATATGTTTTCTTGCAATGGGCAATATGTTTCACTGTATAGGAGTTACAAGTAAGCAACCTGAGGTTTGAGTCCTCCAGATAGCTGACACATTGTTTTAATGACAGACAGAAAGAACAGACAACATTGCAACACTATCAGAATCAGACTGGAATAACAAATACATGTGAATAGCATTTAATGAAGCACTATTTGCAATAATAAATAATATTTTCTAAACACTGAAGCAAAAACACTTTAGGTGAATATTGCTCTCTATAAATATTGCTCCATATCATAATGACTGACTCAGATTGGCTGACAGTCAAGGAGGAGTAAGGGACAGTGATGGCGTACCCAATGGGATCACTTCTTCTTGCCGGCACTCTTGGCCTGCTTGCTGGGTTGCTGGGCGGCGTTCTTCTCTAGCTCCACCTGCCTGGCGGCCTCCAGAGCCACCTCCTCCTTCTCCTGACGACGAAGCTCTGCCTCCAGTAGCCGGTTTCGGAACACCTCCCGGGCCGCCAGCACATTCTGACGCTGTGCTCCCAACGCCACCTGGATAGAGAGAGGGGGAAGGGGACAAAGAAGGTGGAAGAGACAGAAGGACAGAGAGAAAGAGAGACGGTCAACTGATATCCTAGCCTCGCGAGCCTCCTGATCTCGCAAGCTTACATGAATGGCGACCCATTCATGTAAGCTCGCGTGATCAAGCAGCTCGCAAGACTACTGATATCACGTCCTGTCCCTTTTCCTCTCAAAGTCATAACAGTATGAATCATCGTTTTCTACAGTTTGTGTAGTTATTCTGTTTTCTGTGTTGTGTGTGTGTGTGTATGCGTGCGCAAGTACGTGTGCGTTATATGTACAACCCTATTAACCCTGTGCTGACCTGCAGGCCGTCGTACATCTCCAGCTGACGTCTCTTGAGCTCCTTCCTGTTAGCCTGCTCCTGCCTGCGGTGTTCCAGCACAGTGTCTCTCACCAACCTGAAGCCCTGGATTTGCTCTAAGCGCTCCCTCCGCTGGGCCTCCTCCATCACCTGGTCCTTCAGAACAGGAACCTTCCGCTGCCTCCTACACAGCAGAGCACAGCACACAGGGCAACATGCTTAGTTAGGTAGAATATCTGGGGCCATATGTATCAAGTGTCTCAGAGTAGGAGTGCTCAGTTAGGCTCAGTTTCACCTATTAGATCACAATGAAAAAGATGACATGGACAGGGGGGACCTGATCCTAGATCAGCACTCCTATTCTGAGATGCTTCGTACATACAGCCTCATAATGGTCTATATAAAACAGAAGACATTGAAACAGAGAACATTTCCTTATCATAAGCTTTTATCTGAAGTAAGACTATGACACAATTTGAATAGAAAAAAGTAGAGGGAGCAAGAAGCCCAATGAGACAAATAGAAACGGGAACGCAAGGATAAGGCGAGGGAGTTCAAGAATGATCAAAATGATAATCCGCTGGAGTACACATTCCCCTCCCCTCCATAGGTGAACTCATGAACTGCATATCATTGGCCTTTCCTTATCTCCTATCCCAGATCCTACACCACCTTCCAACACACACACACACACACACACACACACAGGCACCCTCTGTCCCTCCCTCTCTCTGAGATGCCCATCTATCCTCATATGGAAGGATAGATTACGCACTTGGCTGGTGTATGATGAGATGTCAGAAATAGACTGTAGGATAGTGCTGCAGAGTCGAGGTAACCGGTCAGGGCCAGGTATGACTGAGTGTAATATGTCCCCTGAGGCCTGGGGAGGAGGGGTGAGGTACTTAAAGGTAGATTAGAAAAGGCTAAATATGGCTGTCTATTTCCCATACACTGACCTTGATTAAAGAGGGGGGGCGGGGGGGCTAATGGACTTAGGATAGTTAATGAACATCGCCCTCTCTTCCCTCTGAGTATGTCTGAGTATGTCTGTGTGTCTGGAAGAGTGTGTGTCTAGAAGTGTGTGGGTGTCTGCAATTGTGTGTTTGCAGGTGTGTGTGAATCAGGGTGGGTGTCATCAGCCATTAACCAGAGGAGCAGACGGCGGCACACACACACACACACATTGGGACAAAGGGGGTGGGCTGGGGAGGGGTGAAGAGAGGGGCATGTCTCACAGGAGTGGCGGGCTCATTGGAACCCCAAAATAGCTCCCTAATTAATAAACCCAAATATCATCCCATTTATCATGTTGTGGTCAAAAGTTTTGAGAATGACACAAGTATTGGTCTTCACAAAGTTAGCTGCTTCACAAGACCTCTGCAATCCGCCCTGGCATGCTGTCAATTAACTTCTGGGCCACATTCTGACTGATGGCAGCCCATTCTTGCATAATCAATGCTTGGAGTTTGTCAGAATTTGTGAGGTTTTGTTTGTCCACCCGCCTCTTGAGGATTGACCACAAGTTCTCAATGGGATTAAGGTCTGGGGAGTTTCATGGCCATGGACCCAACATTTCAATGTTTTGTTCCCCGAGCCACTTAGGTATCACTTTTGCCTTATGGCAAGGTGCTCCATCATGCTGGAAAAGGCATTATTCGTCACCAAACTGTTATTGGATGGTTGGGAGAAGTTGCTCTCGGAGGATGTGTTGGTACCATTCTTTATTCATGGCTGTGTTCTTAGGCAAAATTGTTAGTGAGCCCACTCCCTTGGCTGAGAAGCAACCCCACATGAATGGTCTCAGGATTCTTTACTGTTGGCATAACACAGGACTGATGGTAGCGCTCACCTTGTCTTCTCCGGACAAGGTGTTTTCCGGATGCCCCAAACAATCGGAAAGGGATTCATCAGAGAAAATGACTTTACCCCAGTCCTCAGCAGTCCAATCCCTGTACCTTTTGCAGAATATCAGTCTGTCCCTGATGTTTTTCCTGGAGAGAAGTGGCTTCCTCGCTGCCCTTCTTGACACCAAGCCATCCTCCAAAAGTATTCGCCTCACTGTGCACGCAGATGCACTCACACCTGCCTGCTGCCATTCCTGAGCAAGCTCTACACTGGTGGTGCCCCGATGAATCAACTTTAGGAGACGGTCCTGGCGCTTGCTGGACTTTCTTGGGCGCCCTGTGAAGCCTTCTTCACAACAATTGAACCTCTCTCCTTGAAGTTCATGATGATCCGATAAATGGTTGATTTAGGTGCAATCTTACTAGCAGCATTATCCTTGCCTGTGAAGCCCTTTTTGTGCAAAGCAATGATGACGGCACGTGTTTCCTCGCAGGTAACCATGGTTAACAGGAAGAACAATGATTTCAAGCACCACCCTCCTTTTAAAGCTTCCAGTCTGTTATTTTAACTCAATCAGCATGACAGAGTGATCTCCAGTCTTGTGTCTCTCTCCACACTCTCTGTGTTAACGAGAGAATCACTGACATGATGTCAGCTGGTCCTTTTGTGGCAGGGCTGAAATGCTGTGGAAATGTTTTTTGGGGATTAACTTCATTTTCATGGTTTTGCAAATAATTGCATTTCATCTGATCACTCTTCATAACATTCTGGAGTATATGCAAATTGCCATCATAAAAACTGAGGCAGCAAAACTTTTGACCACGACTGTATATATTTGTGTGTGTACGTAAAAAGGTCTGTCACACTAACGACCAGATTAGCCCTCCTCCCATCCCTGTTGGTCGCCCACGAAAACCAAAGCTAATTGTTTTTAATTAAGCCTGGGGCGCTAAGCCCACTGATATTTAGCAAGGCAGCTTCTAGAGCAGACAGACATACATACACAAAGGGCAGCTTCAGGGCAGACAGACAGACAGACACTCAAGAGAAGCAACCGTATTCACTATGGTCCATTCTCTGTGTGTGAACTGAAGAGATATTTGTGTCATTCTCAAAACTTTTGACCACGACTGTAGAACCAGCAGAGAGAGGAGAGGAGAGTGGGAGAGAGAAGAGGATAGAGGAGAGGAGATGAGAGAGGGTGAGAGAGGAGAGGAGAGAGGAGAGAGGAAAAAGGAGAGATGAGAGTGGGAGAGAGATGAGAGGAGAGAGGGGAGTGGGAGGGAGAGGAGATGAGAGGAGAGGAGACATTGGGGTGAACTCTAGAGGGAGCTCTGCTCGTACTTACTGCATTCACAACGTTGCCTGAAATCACTCACCCATCTCTACCAATGTGAACGTTCAACATCAGCATCAGCATCCTGCCCTTGTGTAGCTTCTGTAGCTGAGCGGTTGGGTGTACAGTCATGCCCTAGTGTAGCTACTTCCTTCAGTGTGTGTGTGTGTGTGTGTGTTTATATAATGGGTGGTAATCCTGAATGCTGATTGGTTAAAACCGCATTCCAGCAGGTGTCTATTCCACAAATTAGCACCGGCTATGACGTTAAAATGTCTATTTACTCTGTTCCATATGACTGCGCAATCCACTGTCTCATCAGCCCAGCCAGGCAATTTATAAACTTGAAATAAAAATGCAAACTATAAAATGCATCTAGACATTATCTCACATTTCTTTTAGACTAACATTTCGTTTTTCAACAGCGGAGATTTGTATAAACCTTGCTGTCTGTCTCTCCGACATTTGCAACATTGTTTCAATATTAACATTTGATCATGCCAGGTGAAATCTCGCCTCATTACTTCATTGTTATGGATGTATCCAAATAAATGTCACTAGAAAACAGCTTAAACAAATGCAAATGCAGCTACTTTACTGTTATTCTGGCTGCACTGTTAGCCGTAGTTGACTAGCTAGCAAGCAAGGGATAAGAAAGTTTCCAGCCAGCATGGCACCATAGATACAGAACAAAAAGACTGAACGACTGGGTTGCGTCTCTGGCAACCGAACCAATAGAATGAACGACCAGCCGGCTTGGATAGCAACCCTAGATTTGTGTCGGGACTATATCTCGTGGAAGGATGAAATTAATACATTAATAAAAATAATGCTTTTAATGAAAATATGTAAAGCATTATTTGAATATGTTGATAACCAGTTGTATAAAAGTGATAATGCCCTCAAAGCCTGTGTTTGGAGGATATACAGTGCATTCGGAAAGTATTCAGAGCCGTTGACTTTTTCAACATGTTGTTCCGTTACAGCCTTATTTTAAAATTGATTAAATTGTTTTTTACCCTCATCAATCTACACACAATACCCAATAATCACAAAGCAAAAACTGTTTTTATGACATTTTTGCAAATGTATTACAAATAACAACTGAAATATCACGTTTACATAAGTATTCAGACCAGTACTCAGTACTTTGTCGAAGTACCTTTGGCAGTGATTACAGACTCAAGTCTTCTTGGGTATGACGCTACAAGCTTGGCAGACCTGTATTTGGGGAGTTCAGGCCAAAGAGTTCAATCTTGGTTTCATCAGACCAGAGAATCTTGTTTCTCATGGTCTGAGAGTCCTTTAGGTGCCTTTTGGCAAACTCCAAGCTGCCTGTCATGTGCCTTTTACTGAGGATTGGCTTCCGTCTGGTCACTCTACCATAAATGCCTGATTGGTGGAGTACTGCAGAGATGGTTGTCCTTCTGGAAGTTTCTCCCATCTCGACAGAAGAACTCTATCAGAGTGACCATCGGGTTGGTATTGGTATTTTATTAGGATCCCCATTAGCTGTTGCAAAAGCAGCAGCTACTCTCCCTGGGGTCCACACAAAACATGATACATAATACATAACATTAATAGACAAGAACAGATCAAGGACAGAACTACATACATGTAGGGACACGTAGCCTACATATCAATACATACACACGAACTATTTAGGTCAAAAAGGGGAGAGGCATTGTGCCGTGAGGTGTTGCTTTATCAGTTTTTTTAAACCAGGTTTGCTGTTTATTTGAGCAATATGAGATGGAACGGAGTTCCATGCAATAATGGCTCTATATAATACTGTACGCTTTACTGAATTTGTTCTGGATTTGGGGACTGTGAAAAGACCCCTGGTGGCATGTCTGGTGGGGTAAGTGTGTGTGTCAGAGCTGTGTGTAAATTGACTATGCAAAAAATTTGGAATTTTCAACACATTAATGTTTCTTATAAAAAGAAGAAGTGATGCAGTCAGTCTCTCCTCAACTCTTAGCCAAGAGAGACTGGCATGCGTAGCATTTATATCAGCCCTCTGATTACAATGAAGAGCAAGACGTGCCGCTCTGTTTTGGGCCAGCTGCAGCTTAACTAGGTCTTTCCTTGCAGCACTGGACCATTGTGGTCCTCTGTAGCTCAGCTGGTAGAGCACGGCGCTTGTAACGCCAAGGTAGTGGGTTCGATCCCCGGGACCACCCATACAAAAAAAAAATAATAATAATAATAATGTATGCACGCATGACTGTAAGTCGCTTTGGATAAAAGCGTCTGCTAAATGGCATATTATATTATTACAACTGGACAATAATCCAGATTAGACAAAACTAGAGCCTGCAGAACTTGCTTTTTGGAGTGTGGTGTCCAAAAAGCAGAGCATCTCTTTATTACGGACAGACCTTTCCCCATCTTTACAACCATTGAATCTATATGTTTTGACCATGATAGTTTACAATCTAAGGTAACGCCAAGTAATTTAGTCTCCTCAACTTGTTCAACAGCCACACCATTCATTACCAGATTCATCTGAGGTCTAGAACTTGAATGATTCGTACCAAATCCAATGCTCTTAGTTTTAGAGATGTTCAGCACCAGTTTATTAGTGGCCACCCATTCCAAAACAGACTGCAACTCTTTGTAAAGGGTTTCGGTGACTTCATTAGCTGTGGTTGCTGATGCGTATATGGTTGAATCATCAGCATACATGGACACACATGCTTTGTTTAATGCCAGTGGCAGGTCATTAGTAAAAATAGAAAAGAGCAGAGGGCCTAGAGAGCTGTCCTGTGGTACACCACACTTTACATTTTTGACATTAGAGAAGCTTCCATTAAATAAAACTCTGAGTTCTATTAGATAGATATCTTTGAATCCACGATATGGCAGAGGTTGAAAAGCCATAACACATACGTTTTTTCAACAACAGGTTATGATCAATAATATCAAAGGCTGCACTGAAATCTAACAGTATAGCTCCCACAATCTTCTTATTATCAATTTATTTCAACCAATCATCAGTCATTTGTGTCAGTGCAGTACATGTTGAGTGCCCTTCCCTATAAGCATGTTGAAAGACTCTTGTTAATTTGTTTACAGAGAAATAGCAATGTATTTGGTCAACACACAACAGTTTGCTAAGAGCTGGCAGCAAGCTTATAGGTCTACTGTTAGAACCAGTAAAGGCCGCTTTACCATTCTTGGGTAACAGTTCTTGGTCACCTCCCTGACCAAGGCCCTTCTCCCCAGATTGCTCAGTTTGGCCGGGCGGTCAGCTCTAGGAAGAGTCTTGGTGGTTCCAAACTTCTTCCATTTTAGATTGATGGAGGCCACTGTGTTCTTAGGGACCTTCAATGCTGGCAACATTTTTGGGTACCCTTCCCCAGATCTGTGCCTCGACACAATCCTGTCTCTACGGACAATTCCTTCCACCTCATGGCTTGGTTTTTGCTCTGACATGCATTGTCAACTGTGGGACCTTATATAGACAGGTGTGTGCCTTTAAAAATAAGTCCAATCAATTGAATTGACCACAGTTGGACTCCAATCAAGTTGCAGAAATATCTCAAGGATGATCAATGGAAACAGGATGCACCTGAGCTCAATTTCGAGTCTCATAGCAAAGGGTCTGAATACTAACGTAAATAAGGTATTTTCAAAAATGTCTAAAAACCTGTTTTCGCTTTGTCATTAAGGTGTATTGTGTCTAGATTGATGAGGATTTTATTTTACTTAATAAGGCTGTAACAAAACAAAATGTGGAAAAACCAATGGGGTCTGAATACTTTCCGAATGCATTGTACTGGCAAGGGTGTTGTTAGGCACGAGACGAAGTCGAGGGCCGGCAAACCGTGCCAATATATCCTCCAAACATTGGCATCTTGTCATGCTGCTGTTTACAGCTCTAATGGATGCTGGGGTCGCGACCCCAGAGAGGACCAGAAAGAAAAGCTAGCGAGGCTAAACCTGCTGATGTATGGAGACCGGGAGGGCTGCTGAGTAGGCACGCACGCAAGCACACACACACACTCTGAAGGAAGGAGACAGTAGACGTTCTATCCACTATTACCTTCAGCAGAGGAAAATTAAACAGTGTCTTCAACAAAAACACTGAGTAATAGTGTACAGGTCTCAGCTAGAGATTGGAATTCTCCTCCTCTCGCCTTCTACCCCTGTGACTCCAGGTCGGTGAAATGTGTTTCTCTATACACAACACAGAGTCCACAGACCAGCTGTATTAAAACTCCACAGATTATAACCCACTACCTTTGTCGAGGAAGGATAACATGTGAGGGTGCATTATCCATTCCTCGCACGCACGCACAACAGAGAGCCATGGTGCAGATGAAAACAGCTTGTCCAGTGACAGCAGGAAATGAGCCAGACCAGGCTGTGTATCACCTCCCGACCCTGCAAAGAGGGACCTGTACGATGGGCTAGTCTGGGCTGGTGAGGGGAAACATCTCATTACTGTGGGTTACTGAGAGAGGAAACTAGGGGACTGGAGGGGACTGGAGAGGAGAGGGCAGGACAGCTGGTTAAAGGGCTTCAGTGGATTGTACTCTATGGGCCAGGGAGACCACTCTTCCTCTTACCAAACTGGAAAAACTTATCACCAAAAGCCGTAATGTAGAGGAGTGAAAGAGAGAGAAAGAGAAAGAGAGTGAGGGGAAGGGAGGAATGAAGGAGAGTGCATTGTACTGAGAGAGTGAGATACCTGATGAAGGGGGTGTAGTCCATGGGTAAGTAGGGCTGGGAGGGATCTGGTTGGCTGAGGAGAGCCAGCTCCTGATTGGACGGACTAATATGAGCATCAGGAGACTGGGAGTGGATAGCTGCAGGAGAACCAGAAATGGACACATCACTAAACCTATTGTTCATAACAGGTGAACATTCCTTTCATCAACTGTTCTACAAAATACTGTATAAAATGAAATACTCAGGTCACGTGTGCGTAGGTGAGTTTGCAGAGTGTGGTACCTGGATCTCCACTCTCTGTCCTATCAGTGGGTGTGTCTGCATTGGCCCCACATAGGAGTTTGTTAATGAACTGTAGTCTGGACTGTAGGGCCTGAAACACATTACAACATCCTCAATACTGTTACACATCTATTACTATTGATTAATACTCAATCACCATATAATGAGAGAGAGAGAGAAGAGAGAGAGAGAGAGAGAGAGAAGAGAGAGAGAGAGAAAGAGAGAGAAACAAAAAAGGAGAGAGAGACTATAGAGTTTGTTCTACCTTGATACACCTGCCAGGCTCAGCGGTCTCCCAGGCCTGTTTCATAGCTCTGATCTCATCCAGTCTCTCTGTGTCCTTCCTCACCTCGATGACCTCCGCATCACACTGGTCACTCACCACACGCAGTGTCCAGTAAGGCTTCGACTGGTCCAGGCTCTACACACACACAGACGGATGTGAACACACACCCAAACACACACACGCTCACACACGCACACACATTGCCTTCATAAGCTTCAGAGGGAGGTTTCAGATATCTCCTGATATCTCTTTCTTATGGTGCTATAGACAGCCCTTCTTGCATAAAGAGAGAAGAGAGACAGCTCCAAGTCATGATGTTTTCACCTGTCTATCTCATCCATGCACATAATGGAGGATCATTTCTCAGCTCATCTATTCACAAATCATATCCTCTCTCTCTCTCTTTCAGCTCGCGCTTCATCAACGGTGCAGCAAAACAACGGCAACGTCAACATTTACATTTTGTCAAGGAGAGCGGTTTTAGAGAAATCTGCCTTGCAAATCGCATTGTCTTCAGTGTTTGTGACAAAGAGGCAGTGGAGAAAAGCAATTATGAAGGGAGCAGAGCATGGTCAGAGCTGTAGTTAGATCTATTAAATCAATACAGGCATGCCTCCTGAGTGGCGCAGCGGTCTAAGGCACTGCATCGCAGTGCTAGAGGCATCACTACAGACCCGGGTTCGATCCCAGGCTGTGTCACAGCGTCTTCCGGGTTAGGGGAGGGTTTGGCCGGCCGGGATGTCCTTGTCCCATTGCGCTCTAGCGAGTCCTTGTGGCGGGCCAGGCGCATGCACGCTGACTTCGGTTGCCAGTTGTACGGTGTTTCCTCAGACACATTGGTGCGGCTGGCTTCCGGGTTAAGCGAGCAGTGTGTCAAGATGAGTCCGTACGGGAGTTGCAGCGATGGGACAAGACTGTAACTACCAATTGGATTTCATGAAAATTGGGGAGAAAAATTGGTTAAAAAATTCAATAAATAAAAATAAATATATACAGGGATGACAGGATCACTGGTCTGCTCTGTCATGAGATAATATAATACACTTATTAGGTTAGTCAGAGGCTTTTATCCAAAGCTACATGTAACAAAACCATTTAGTAGATGCACAACTAATACTTTGAATCCCAAAGAAACGAAGGAACAACTACTAAGTTATTATCAAGTAATGCCCATATTTTGCTTTATATTGTCTATGTAAACAGCGTAGGGTATAATAATCAGTGGTGGTCAGCTGTCAGTTTGCAGTGTTACCTACCGTTTCCATCCTGGAGCCAGGCTTGGCTGGGGGTTTGTCCTTGTCGCCTTTGCCCTTGCGACTGCCCTTGGGGGTGGATGACTTCTGGCCCTCGCTGCTCTGGGCGTCACCACTGACCGGAGTTGTCGGGTCTTCGTGCTTCTCCCCGTGCACTATGACCAAGGACCAATGAGAAAAGAGGTCAACGATCAGATGGTCAGTAGCAGGACAGGTACACGCACTGAACCTATCAATCAAATGTATTTGTATAGCTCTCATTACATTACAAATATATACAGTATGTCAAAAAAGCACTTAGCAATCCAAGCCTTATAGATACATTGGTATTCTAATAACTTCTTAGTCTTGATTATATTTTATATTTTAGTCACTTAGCAGACGCTCTTATCCAGAGCGACTTACAGGAGCAATTAGGGTTAAGTGCCTTACTTAAGGGTACATCGACAGATTTTTCACCTAGTCGGCTCGGGGATTAGAACCAGCGACTTTTCGGTTACTGGCACAACGCTCTTACCCACTAAGCTACATGCCGCATAGAGATTATGTGAGAGTATTCTGTGCATTATTCTGTGATAGTATTCTGTGCATTGTTCTGTGAGAGTAATCTGTGCATTGTGTATCTGACTTGTTTAGGTCTATATTCCTGTCAAGGTCTGATGCCTTCCTGCTGTTTATACAGTGGAATCACGACACATGGCAATGATCAAGCCATTCCAAACAACATTTCCACAAGGGAACGCCATTTGTGCAATACCATCATTGCTTAGAAAAACAACTGACATGCATTACCATTACTGCATGAAAGGGCAATAAATGACAAGCAATTCTCCAGCCATTAAAATTAAGCAAAATTGTGTTTTTAATCCAAAAGTATTATGACCAACGTAGTCATTCTCATTAGTCCGTTCACACTCAATTGAGTAAAGATTAAGCGTACAACACAACACCTGTCAGCGTGTGTAGGAGACAGAGTGTGTGCTAGATGGCACTGTTGCACTGTGTTTGCAACTACTACTGTAAATCAATGCAACACTACCACTGCTATTCTCCAAGTCCCCCTATTCCAATAGAAATGCTTGATAATCCCTCATTTTAACTGACAACCTGTAACATGTACTGAAGGGGTTGATAACTACAGAGCATGATGCTCACCTCACCAAGCCATTGTGATCACAACTCACCACTACCAATAACATTCTTGTCTAGTAAAAAATGCTGTTTTCACATTTAATAGAAGTCACTCTGTCTTGTCCACATCACAGACAATAATATCAAGGAAGTGAAACCATGGCAACGGCTAGCAGTGCTGCGCCACAGACCTAGCTTGGAAATCGCCCTGTACTACAGCGCATTCGGAAAGTATTCAGACCCCTTGACTTCTTCCACATTTTGTTACGTTACAGCCTTATTTTAAAATTGATTAAATTGTTTTTTTTTCATCAATCTACACAGAATACCCCATAATGACAAAGCAAAAACAGGTTTTTAAAAACATTTGCAAATTTATAAATAAAAAAATAAGTATTCAGACCCTTTACTCAGTACTTTGTTGAAGCACCTTTGGCAGCGATTAAAGCATTGAGTCTTCTTGGGTATGACGCTACAAGCTTGGCACACCGGTATTTGAGGAGTTTCTCCCATTCTTCTCTTAAGATCCTCTCAAGCTCTGTCAGATTGGATGGGGAGCGTCGCTGCACAGCTATTCTCAGGTCTCTCCAGAGATGTGCGATCGAGTTCAAGTCCGGGCTCTGGCTGGGCCACTCAAGGACATTCAGAGACTTGTCCCGAAGCCACTCCTGCGTTGTCTTGGCTGTGTGCTTAGGGTCGTTGTCCTGTTGGAAGGTGAACCTTCACCCCCAGTCTGAGGTCCAGAGCACTCTGGAGCAGGTTTTCATCAAGGATCTCTCTGTACTTTGCTTCGTTCATCTTTCCCTCGATCCTGACTAGTCTCCCAGTCCCTGGCACTGAAAAACATGCCCACAGCATGATGCTGCCACCACCATGCTTCACTGTAGGGATGGTGCCAGGTTTCCTCCAGACGTGACGCTTGGCATTCAGGCCAAAGAGTTCAATCTTGGTTTCATCAGACCAGAGAATCTTGTTTCTCGTGGTCTGAGAGTCTTTTAGGTGCCTTTGGCAAACTCCAAGCGGGCTGTCATGTGCCTTTTACTGAGGAGTGGCTTCCGTCTGGCCATTCTACCATAAAGACCTGATTGGTGGAGTGCTGCAGAGATGGTTGTCCTTCTGGAAGGTTCTCCCATCTCCACAGAGGAACTCTGGAGTTCTGTCAGAGTGACCATCCGGTACTTGGTCACCTCCCTGACCAAGGCCCTTCTCCCCCGATGGCTCAGTTTGGACGGACGGCCAGCTCTAGGAAGAGTCTTGGTGGTTCCAAACGTATTTCAGTTTTTTATTTTTAATATATTTGCAAAAAAGATTCTATAAACCTGTTTTCGCTTTGTCATTATGGGGGATTTTATTTGATCAATTTTAGAATAAGGCTGTAACGTAACAAAATGTGGAAAAAGGGAAAGGGTCTGAACACTTTCCGAATGCAGTATGGAAGATTTATTTTTGTCTTTGGTATGTACACTTATATCTAACCTATATCCTAAAGAGACTATAAACCTTGCCCTCCTATAACTAAACATCAAGCAGCCCAGTTCCTAGTCATTTAACCAGGACCAAGTAAATGAAGAACCTGCTCAGTGTATTGAGGGCATGGCTGAGAGGCTTGAAAGGCCAGTAGCAGCTACATAGAGCTGTAACCATGATCTGTTCCCACACCACTGAGACACAGAGTTAAACTGGGCGAAATTAATTCACTTTCCTTCTGTCAATATATTTTTTACACTAACGACCAGCACTTTAAAACATTCTGTCATATCTAATAGACAAATAGGACTCTCTTTTCCTTTAGAATCAATACACACATACCGATAGGCATGAGAATTCAAGACTGCCTCAATGGACACTGACACACACGCACATATGTACAGAGAGAACCTTTATTCCGATTTTCTGCTGTGCAAACTGAATGGGTATAGGAGTTATTTTCCAGATTGCAAGATTGAGAAGACAAAAGGAATTCTAATATTATTAGGCAAGCAATTATCTTCAGGCAATCATGCAAATCTGACTGCACTCGCCTAGTCCCACCTCCCCCTCACCCCACCAATATCCATCCCTCAATTAATTTATCCCCTAAGAATTTTTTGCTTTTCTGAGTTTTAGTCAATTTTCTGTTTCTTCCCTTGCCCGTCTAATTTGTGCAGCATCCAAAGCCATCTGAGAGGCAGTAGCAATGACACGGGGTTATTGCCTCAATCAGAGGGGCCACAGGGCCTCCCAAATCACATCTAGTGATCTGCTAAAGCAGCTATATTCATCTGCCTTTCATTAGGGATGTGAATACAGCCCCATGGCTAGTCACAGGGCGAACAGACAGAGACCTGCCTGCCTGCTGCATATCTGGCACATTTCAGATGCAACATGCAAAACAATAAGCTCGGAAAACAAACACAGGGATGCGACATCCGATCAGGATTCAGAGGAGAACATTGGGGGCATCTGAAATGCAATATGCAATATGGAAATGTGATTACTAACCTCATGCATATTGGGGACATTATCTGAATTGCAATATGAATGAATTATGTGATTCCAACCCAAATATTCAGTATATTTTAAAGTGAAGTTGAAACCTGACCCAAAATAACCCCAATATCTCTTTGGGATAATAGCCTATTGCTTCAGACTGCAGAGTAGTGTACCTGACCACTGATTGGGTGAAGTGAGGTGACCAGAGTGGACAAAGTGTGTCACTGGCTAGTGAGTAACTGTCCGAGACAGAAGAGAGGAGTCAAACTTTTTTTGGGGGTCTGAGACTAAATTCAAGAACTCAGTACATGTCATATCCCCCTTCATGTCATTCACTCGCGCAGATTACAAACAAATTTGTCGGTTGGGACTTGTGAATCATCGGATGGCCTTTCTGAATGTCTGTGCAGAAGATAATATTATAATTCTGAGCCTCTTATTGGCAGCTGGGCTCACTCTTTGGCAGGATTGTGGGTATTGTGCATTTGTGATTTGTTGGTGTGTTCTCTAGGGGTCCGGCTGAAGGGGATTGTGCGTCTATGATTGGCTGGTGTGAGTACCTTTCATCTCGTTCCTCTCCAGGTCCCTGAGCGTACGGACAAAGGCCATCTGAGAGTTGTCGAGAGCCCAGCTCTTATGCAACACCTCCGCCACCACTATGTACTTATGGCCCTGAGAGAACGAGAGACAACAGTCAACAACAACAAAAACAACAACACACACACAAACAAGTACACCTCTGCCTGCCCTGCACTATATACATGCCTTCAAATTCAGGCAATACAGTCAACAATAACAGTAATAGCATTTCCGTCTGAGATGAGAGAGAAATAGAGAAAAACATCATAACAACAACACAACCACCACAGAGAAATATCAGCAGCACCTAAGCCACTGTCAGTGATACAGTATGTACTGAACGACCCTAAGAGAGACAGTCAAAGAGATACAGACACAGTAAACATCACATTTAGTTAGTTGTTCCTTTGTGATCATTTAGATACATGTATAATATAGTTCTAACAGTATGCTGTTTAGAGTGGTGTAAAAGCAGTTTGCCAGTGAGCATCAATATGTTGGTGTAGGGGCAAGCAGCATCTTGATCATTGACTGGGGCACCAAGCCACTATAATACTGATCGATACCTCTTCATTCTGATCTGTCGCACCTGAACAGCACTACATCAGATCAGAGGTTCGCTAATAGCTCATTACCATTGATGCTACAGGGTTGTTTTTGTTGTTGTTGTTTGATGTAACAGAGTTGAGAGAATGCTCAATAATCTGCCTCTGAAGAGAGGTTTCACCCAAAGACAGCGATGTCCATTGGAAGGGTACAATGTGACTCAGATAACCAGTAACTGAGTGTGTGAACCAAACTATCCCATACTGTCTGTTTGACTGTAACATGGGAGCCTGTGAGGTCTGGCGGCAAACTCAGTAGCAACTCATAAATCATGTGGAAATCAGAGCCTCCCTTATAGGTAGAGCGATACGAGAGCAAAAGATAACAAAACAACTCGCCAATTCTTCTGTATCTTCACTCCTCATCAAACTCTTTCCTTCTTCCTTCCCCTCCTCCATAGTGTGTGTGTGTGTGTGTGACAGCATAATCTATCATATAGGCGATGGTTGAAAGGTGAGCTGTCAGCGTTGATACCATAGTCTCCATGGGTGGCTGGGTCTGGGTGTGAGGCTGGTTCTGGGTCTGGTCGGTCAGGGGGGGAGTCTCCGTGGCCATGCCCTCCTGGCCCCCTCCTCCCTGGGTAGAGCCTGTCACTCTGGCCTCTTCCTGGCTCTGCTTTCCATCTGCCTGGGGGGGTCCGCAGGAGGCGGCTGTGACACGCAAAACACAATATGGATTTTCATAGAAGTTCCAATTCCAAAAAACTAAATAAGAATAAAAATAAAAATGTCAGAAAAATGCTTTAGACCTTTCAGACAGATGAACGTAAGTGGAAACATAGATTGAGAGAGCAGTCTTGGAGTGTCAGGGTTTTTGCCTGTCTGTGTGTCAGAGTATTTTAGTGACAATGACAATCGGTCAAACCAGCCAAAATGCTTATCTTAGTCTCAAATCTTGACACATCTACCTTTGAGGGGAGTCGACCTGGTTATTTCACAGCTTTATACACTGTAACGGAAAACTGTCATGTATACGGTAATTTGGGGTATTCTTCACAGTAAAAATTGTACTCTGAAATGTTTTACTGCAGTATACTGTAAATGATGGTGCATTGTGTGAAAATGTTGTGGACAGGGAAAGCATTGCTGTATTTCGAATGGTACTGTAATTCCACCCCACAGAATACAGTACCGTACCGTACTTTTGGAGCGCCAAAAACCTTTTGACCACTAGTAGGTGCATGGTATTGTTGTTTCTGGCTCATTAACATATGTGGAGGCGTGCTTTGTAAGAGGCTATATTAGTTACACGAATGAGTGAGGTTGCTGTAACAATTGAACTTACAATTTAACATGTAAAGGGGACAGATTGGAGTGGCTGCAAGTCTTGAACCTTCAATGGTTGAGCATTTTGCCATGTGCCTTTTGGTCTGTTTTGCCCTGTAGTCACAGTTTGGATGACTTTCTTATGGCCTCTAGAAGTGCAAGTGATATAAAACACAAAATATTCATGCTGTATTGTGTAAAAACTTTACCTAGCATCCAACCTGTTTTACCAATCCCTTGTAATTACAGTAAAATACATCCATTCATCCATCTATTCAATAATTAATTCCGATTATCGTAGCATTTACTTTTTTACAGTATAATACAGTCAATTTTACGGTATTGTACTGTGTGTCATTACACAGTACTTGATGCCGTATGTATATTACAGTATGAAATACAGAATTTTCCTTTCCACTGAGCATGCCTGTTACTGTCAAATTCACGGCAACCCCTTTACAGCGAACATACTCAAATGTTTATATGCAGGTTAGATGGAATATCTAGTCCTCAGTTTTACTTCTCTATCATTTGTCCCCAAGCCAACTCACTAATAACGAATTACGCAACTCTGAGAGACTCTTAGCCCCTTGCCCAACCCTACAGGGGACATTCACCCTAAATGGTTGTTTACTCTCCCCTCACTATAGTTTAAGTAGCAGAAAACAGCATTGCATGATAAATGTTGTGCCTTCCGGACTGGATCTGATTGCGATTGACAGGTTGGCTGCAGGCCTGGCTGATAGACTATTCATTGATTCAGGGCATGTTTAAAGGCTGACAGACAGACAGGCAGACAGGCAGACAGGCGGACAGACAGACGGACATCACCATGGCGTGATGCTGCTGCTGTGTTCACAGTGTGGCAGAGAGAGAGAGAGAAAGGCTGGCACTGCAGAATATGAGCAGTCACCATTACACTGAAAACAAATGGGTAATGTCATAGACTCGCAAAAACAGAATACCTTACCCTCCCCTACGTATGTATTTGGACAGTGATGCTAAAATGTTAAATGTGTCTCTATACTCCAGCATTTTGGATTCAAGATCAATTGTTTCATATGAGGTGACAGTACAGAATGTCACCTTTTACTTGAGGGTATTTCCATACATATTTTATATACAGTTTAGAAATGAAAGCACTTTATAGATCTAGTCCCCCCCATTTGAAGATGTCATAAGATGTATTTGGACAAATGTCACTTATAGTGTACCAAAGTAGTCAAAAGTTTAGTAGTTGGTCCCATATTCCTAGCACGCAATGACTACATTAAGCTTGTGACGCTACAAACTCATTGGATGCATTTGTTTTAGTTGTGTTTTGGGTTGATGACTGGAGTAATTTTCTTTCTAAGTGAGTAGATGAGATGTTTCTGAAAGTTACAGAGGCTACAACAAAGCATGCTAACCTCTACTTACTTTGTCCTTCTGTAACTTTCTCACTCATCATCATTCATGATTCATTCATGATTATCCATAATCATGGTAGCATCCACATTCATGTAGAAATGTACCCAAACATCTTCTATTATTTTAACATTAAAAGTGACTCCAAAATGACACAATACATTATTCACAATTCACTTCTTATTGGACAAAACATAATCCGAAACACAACCAACACAAGCTGTAAATGCCTCCAACAAGTTTGTAGAGTCACAAGCTTCATGTAGTCATTGTGTGCAAGGAATATGGGACCAAATACTACACTTTTGACTACTTTAACCCTCATCCTAACAACATATTTTACATACATGGATCACCAACTGGTGTCATTTTGACCCCAAGAAGAAACTATTGGAAAAGCAACAATCATAGCAAAATATGATTGTTGCTTAATTCTTAATTCTTATCAAAACATCATAAGACATATAAATAATGTTTTCTGAAATACAAACTACCAAAACAGCCTGGTATTTTAGCAAAATTACTGTTAATTTGCATATAAATATAAATGTGTCTCTTAAATAACGTGCAGCTTTTTTTTTACAAAGTACAACCAACGTAAGTACTAAAAAGCAGATTTACCATCACTTGACTGTAGTATCATTTCGTTTTTAGAATTTTTAAGTGTCATATTGATGTGGTAAATACGACTGTCATTTAAAGGGGCGGTACACAATGACCAAGAATATAGCTTAGTTTTTGTTATTTACTTACCCCACAACCAGCATTAGCATCACTGCTAGTGAAACAATGGGAGTGATAGGGCTTATGGCAGTATGCTTTAATAAGCATACTCATATCCTCAAAATCACTTCAAACCAAATGTTATAGCAACCCAAATACCATTACATGTTGCACATTTAGAATATTGGAGGATATTATAGGAATTCTGGTTTTTACAATGTACAATTCTGGAATACACATCAATATGTGAACATTTAGAGGGTAGCTGGTTTCTGTACTACAGTTCTACCAAGTATTCATACCACTGGCAAGCTTTTATGAACTGTTTTGACTGCAACTAAGCATCTATGTAAAGTAATTTAGATTTTCTACACGGTCATACCTAGTTATAAACAGTTACAACCATAGGTGAGTACATAAGGTGCTCCATCTTTACAGGTGATCTGTCTATCTGGTTAAAATCACTGATACAGGTCCCCCTCCACCCTCTGAGGATATGTACTGTATATCTTATAAGTTAAGAGAAACCTGGATTCAAATAAACACTTTTTTAGATTTGCCCTAGAATAACTACCTTCGGAGAATGCACACCAATACAGCTTTCAGAGTGTATCTGAGTTCTGTACTGCAGTTCTATTAAGTATGTATACCATTGGCAGATTTCTTTATGCACAAAAATAAGGTACTTTTTTTTTTTTTTTTACACAGTCATACAATACGTGGTATAGAAAAGTACAATCTTAGGAGAGTATATGGGGTGCTATATCTTGGCAGACGATCTGTCTATATGGCCAAAATCGCTGATACAGGTCCCCCTCCACCCTCTGGTGGTATGGATAACTTGTAATTATGTCTCCAGAGAAAACTAGATTAAAATAAAGGTCCTATTTATCAAATTACTATAGGCGGAATTAGGTGTTTTTGGCTGGGGTCAAATCTTTATAATTTTTTTGTCGCACAGTTCTCTCAAAATAAAAGTACTGGTCGCACAGCATTTGGTCGCACTTTAGAGCCCTGGGTCTAAATTACCCCAAAGTCCATAATGATACAGAAACACGAAACAATTATTTATATTTGTTAAGAACAAGTTGATAGACAGAGTCATGAAAAATAGGAAGAATTGAATAAACCACATTTGGGCTATGATAACAAATATACCTCTGGGTCAAAATGACCCCAGTCAGTAGTATGAGGTTTTTCTATTATTTCACTTTTTCTTCTCTGCATTGTTGGGAAGAGCCCGTAAGTAAGCATTTCACTGTTAGTCTACACCTGTTGTTTACGAAGCATGTGACAAATAAAATGTGATTTGATGAGGGTTAAAATGCTATAAGTGAAATGTGTCCAAATACTTCAATCTTCAAATGGGGGTCTAGATACAGTATATGAAGTGCTTTCATTTATATTTGGTAAATCAGATATGTATTTTAAAAAATACTGTATATACAGCCAAATTTACAATTTTAGCATCACTGTCCAAATACATACAGTGCATTCGGAAAGTATTCAGACCCCTTGACTTTTTCCACATTTTGTTACGTTAATGCCTTATTCTAAAATTGATACAATAATTTTTTTCCTCATCAATCTACACACAACACCCCATAATGACTGTTTTTTAGAAATTGTAAAAATAAAACACGGAAATATCACATTTACATAAGTATTCAGACCCTTTACTCAGTACTTTGTTGAGGCACCTTTGGCAGCGATTACAGCCTTGAGTCTTCTTGGGTATGACGCTACAAGCTTGTGGAGTTTCTGCCATTCTTCTCTGCAGATCCTCTCAAGCTCTGTCAGGTTGGATGGGGAGCATCGCTGCACAGCTATTTTCAGGTCTCTCCAGAGATGATCGATCGGGTTCAAGTCCGGGCTCTGGCTCGGCCACTCAAGGACATTCAGAGACTTGTCCCGAAGCCACTCCTGCATTGTCATGGCTGTGTGCTTAGGGTCATTGTCCTGTTGGAAGCTGAACCTTCGCCCCAGTCTGAGATCCAGAGTAGGTTTTCATCAAGGATCTCTCTGTACTTTGCTCCGTTCATCTTTCCCTCGATTCTGACTAGTCTCCCTGCCACTGAAAAACATAACTATAATAATAATAAACATCCCCACAGCATGATGCTGCCACCACCATGCTTCACCGTAGGGATGGTGCTAGGTTTCCTCCAGATGTGACGCTTGGAATTCAGGCCAACGAGTTCAATCTTGGTGTCATCAGACCAGAGAATCTTTTTTCTCATGGTCTGAGAGTCCTTTAGGTGCCTTTGGCAAACTCCAAGCAGGCAGTCATGTTCATTTTACTGAGGAGTGGCTTCCGTCTGGCCACTCTACCATAAAGGCCTGATTGGTGGAGTGCTGCAGAGATGGTTGTCCTTCTGGAAGGTTCTCCCATCTCTACAGATGAACTCTGGAGCTCTGTCAGAGTTACCATCGGGTTCTTGGTCACCTCCCTGACCAAGGCCCTTCCCCCCCCGATTGCTCAGTTTGGCTGGGCGGCCAGCTGTAGGAAGAGTCTTGGTGGTTCCAAACTTCTTTCATTTCAGAATGATGGAGGCCACGGTGGTCTTGGGGACCTTCAATGCTGCAGACATTTTTTGGTACCCTTCCCCAGATCTGTGCCTCGACACTATCCTGTCTCGGAGCACTACGGACAATTCCTTCGACCTCATGGCTTGGTTTTTGCTCTGACATGCAGTGTCAACTGTGGGACCTTATATAGACCAGTGTGTACCTTTCCAAATCATGTCCAATCAATTGAATTTACCACAGGTGGACTCCAATTAAGTTGTAGAAACAGCTCAAGGATGATCAATGGAAACAGGATGCACCTGAGCTCAACTTCGAGTCTCATAGCAAAGGGTGCAAATACTTATATAAATAAGGTATTTCGGTTATTTATTTGTAAAATAAAAAAATGTAATGAATTTTAGAATAAGGCTGTAACGTAACAAAATGTGGAAAAAGTAAAGGGGTCTGAATACATTCCGAATGCATTGTATGTAGACGGGAGTGTATATCGTCATCTACAGTATCTGCAACAAACATGGCAGTATCGGCGTGTGTGTGTGTTTGTGTGTGTGTGTGCGCAAGGGAGGGAGGCTGGCCCTGGCCATCAGAAAGTCACTACTCTAGGGTGACACTTGCCTGGTGTGAGGCTAGGGACAGCACGATTCAGACTGTGACCATGATGTACTGTACACACTGTGTATAAGGTTGGCTGTGAGAGCTGGCAGATATCTCTTTAAAACGATAGGTACATCACAGTATATGGGTCTTTCTATAAACTAGGGTACCAGTGAGGATTTCCTACACTGGACAACTTGTTACAGCTGTTGATAAATCATTGATAATCTGCAAAATACAAATCATGTCACTAAATTAAGGTATAAGGGGGGATCATAGCTACTGTATATTCAATAAAATGCACAAGTTGATTTAAAACCTATGTTTAAACCTTTATCATGGTTGGCGTTTTGACGGATTGGTTCAAAATTGTGTGACATCAAATATTACTTTTCTGTCCTTGCATTTATGGCACTTGAACCCTGTAAAAATCCTGAATCTATCTGTCTGACAGTTTTTTGTATAGAGATCTCAGAAATGCAGTGTAACTACATAACATTTTGTGTCTCCATATGTTACGGGGTGAAAACAGTTTTCATGGGCACACAAATCCAAAATGATGTATGCGATTGCGAAATCGAATGCTTCTAACCGAAAGAGTCACCTTGATACTTAAAACCTAAATCGATACTATCATTAACGTGGTTCTTCAATAATTATGCATAATACATGTTGGATGAGCATTTGGTGTCTAGCTGATTAGTTATGGTGAGACATTTTCACACATCATCATCTGATCCAGGAAGGAATTTTCCGAATGACAGTCAAGTGATGAACAGCTGTTGTGCAACAAAAGCCCAAGTGCTGGAAAAAAGGTGTTCGCAAAGAATATTTTGGTGTCTCATTTGTTACGCCGGTTAAGACAGTTGTGCCTGGATCCACATAGTGAATTGATGTTGACCATCGGTTGTTGTCTGCTTGATTTACAGAAGGGTGCGTTAGATTTAACAGAGAAAGCATCAAGGTAATGAGTTCATGTTTTCATGGTTTTGTGCCTCGGATTGGACACAGAGTCTACTGTGCGCAATTGTGTAGGACAGACTATTGCGCAACACCCAACACTATTCCTGTTCATTATTCTGGATATAATGACAACAAATGACATAGCCTAGTGGGCTTATTCACATTATGATCTGGTAATGAAATAACATGACAAATACATTTTGTTTTCCATGTTACAACTGCAATTTTAAACAATACAAGGGTAGTCCCGTGTAGCTCAGTTGGTAGAGCATGGTGCTTGCAACGCCAGGGATGTGGGTTCGATTCCCACGGGGGACAAGTATGAAAATGTATGCACTCACTAACTGTAAGTCGCTCTGGATAAGAGCGTCTGCTAAATTATTTAAATGTAAATGCTTGAAGTAGCCTACTTGAATATGAAAATCTATGTAATTATTGTAGCCAATTTATAAGTTCTCCTGCTCCCTTATAATTATCTGAGATTTCATTTTTGATCTGTTTTTGTGAGAGATGTGGCTACTTTTGTTTGTTTCCCGCCGTTTCAATTGAAGAGTGTTGCGCTACTCTGCTACGGTAAAACCACATGCGGTTATTATGATGATGACAATATCTAACGTTGGCTTCAACTTGGCTTTCCATACAAATCCTTCCATTAAAAAAGGAACCTGGTTTTCGGTCACTGAAAGTCCTTGAATTTGACTTGCCAATGTCTGTATGAACCCTGCTTAAAGGATGTACACTACCAGTCAAAAGTTTGGACACACCTACTCAGTGAAGTGTTTTTCTTTATTTTTTTAAACTATTTTCTACATTGTAGAATAATAGTGAAGACATCAAAACTATGAAATAACACATATGGAATCATGTAGTAACCAAAAAAGGGTTAAACAAATCAAAATATATTTTATATTTGAGATTCTTCAAATAGCCACCCTTTACCTTGATGACAGCTTTGCACACTCTTGGCATTCTCTCAACCAACTTCATGAGGTAGTCACCTGAAAACACAATGACTCCTCTAAGAAGCACTTTTTGTATTTTCTTCCATCCGACCTTAAAACATTGTTACTCACAGTTGTTAGGATGGAACTGGAATACCGGGATGAGCACATGGCCTTTCCCAGTGTTACTGGCCACCACTTCCTCATGGTCCAGGACGGAGAGGCGGATGTGAACATCCGGTTTGGACGTCTGGAACTGGACCGTACCGGCGTGGTCCGCGGTCACCTTCACAGAATACCTGTCGTAATATACAGAGTTTATTATTGGTAGTGCCAGGAGGTTTTCCTAACCATGTGATCTGACCAGGAACGACTAAGCCCTCAATCAATTTTATGTGATCAATTATGAATTCCTGATTAATCATATAACTGGTTACAATTAAATGAGGCACCTTCCAACCTAAGTACGTATGTTTTACCCTGTCATTATTCCGTTATGCTACCTGCAGATGACGTTCCTGTCATTGGGAATGTAGTAATCCTGGAATTCCTTCACAGAGAAGTTGTTGAGAGGAGTCTCTCGTGCCAGACAAGGAAGTGGATCATGTGAGCCAATCAGACGCATCCTCCACTTGGCACCCACAAGGGGTGTGTCAGGTGTGTGGGCCTCCGCCACAAAGGTGTATCCATGCTACAGGGAGGTGGTTATGAGGCATGAGGGTCAGTTTCTCACACACACACAAATACATGCACACCCACACACATATACTGTACCTACCTATCACACAATAACACAATCATAGAGCCACATTCCCACACTGTAAATCACAAAAACCTGATTAGTTTTTTATATACACATACATATTAAGTTTACATACACCTTAGACAAATACATTTAAACTCCATATTTCACAATTCCTGACATATAATCCTAGTAAAAATTCCCTGTCTTCTGTCAGTTAGGATCACCACTTTATTTTAAGAATGTGAAATGTCAGAATAATAGTAGAGAGAATGATTTATTTCAGCTTTTATTTCTTTCATCACATTCCCATTGGGTAAGAAGTTTACATACACTCAATTAGTATGTGGTAGCATTGCCTTTAAATTGTTTAACTTGGGTCAAACGTTTCGGGTAGCCTTCCACAAACTTCCCACAATAAATTGGGTGAATTTTGGCCCATTCCTCCTGACAGAGCTGGTGTAACTGAGTCAAGTTTGTAGGCCTCCTTACTCGCACATGCTTTTTCAGTTCTGCCAACAAATTTTCTATAGGGTTGAGGTCAGGGCTTTGTGATGGCCACTCCAATACCTTGACATTGTTGTCCTTAAGCCATTTTGCCACAACTTTGGAAGTATGCTTGGGGTCATTGTCCATTTGGAAGACCATTTGCGACCAAGCTTTAACTTCCTGACTGATGTCTTGAGATGTTGCTTCAATATATCCACATAATTTTCCTTCCTCATGATGCCATCTATTTTGTGAAGTGCACCAGTCCCTCCTGCAGCAAGGCACCCCCACAGCATGATGTAACCCCCTTTTTCCTCCAAACATAACAATGGTCATTATGGCCAAACAGTTCTATTTTTGTTTCATCAGACCAGAGGACATTTCTCCAAAAAGTACAATCTTTGTCCCCATGTGCAGTTGCAAACCGTAGTCTGGCTTTTTTATGGCGGTTTTGGAGCAGTGGCTTCTTCCTTGCTGAGCGGCCTTTCAGGTTATGTCGATATAGGACTTGCTTTACTGTGGATATAGATACTTTTCTACCCGTTTCCTCCAGCATCTTCACAAGGTCCTTTGCTGTTGTTCTGGGATTGATTTGCACTTTTCACACCAAAGTACGTTCATCTCTAGGAGACAGAACGCGTCTCCTTCCTGAGCGGTATGATGGCTGCGTGGTCCCATGGTATTTATAGCTGCATACTATTGTTTGTACAGATGAACGTGGTACAGTGGCGCAGTGGTCTAAGGCACTGTGCCACTAGAGATCCTGGTTCGAATCCAGGCTCTGCTGTAGCCGGCCGCAACCGGGAGACCAATGGGGCGGCGCACAATTGGCCCAGCGTCGTCCAGGGAAGGGAAGGGAATGGCCGGCAGGGAGGTAGCTCAGTTGGTAGAGCATGGCGTTTGCAACGCCAGGGTTGTGGGTTCGATTCCTATGGGATATGAAAATAAAAAAGAATAATGTATGCACTAACTGTAAGTCGCTCTGGATAAGAGCGTCTGCTAAATGATGTAAAATGTAAAAAATGTACCTTCAGGCGTTTGGAAATTGCTCCCAAGGATGAACCACACTTGTAGAGGTCTACATCTTTTTTTCTGAGGTCTTGGCTGATTTCTTTTCATTTTCCCATGATGTCAAGCAAAGAGGCACTGAGTTTGAAGGTAGGCCTTGAAATACATCCACAGGTACACCTCCAATTATATAATAATAATATAATATGCCATTTAGCAGACGCTTTTATCCAAAGCGACTTACAGTCATGCGTGCATACATTTTCTTTTATGTATGGGTGTTCCCAAATGATGTCAATTAGCCTATCAGAAGCTTCTAAAGCCATGACATCATTTTCTGGAGTTTTCCAAGCTGTTTAAAGGCACAGTCAACTTAGTGTATGTAAACATCTGACCCACTGGAATTGTGATACAGTGAATTATAAGTGAAATAATCTGTCTGTAAACAATTGTTGGAAAAATTACTTGTGTAATGCACAAAGTAGATGTCCTAACCGACTTGCCAAAACTATAGTTTGTTAACAAGACATTTGTAGAGTGTTTGAAAAACTAGTTTTAATGACTCCAACCTAAGTGTATGAAAACTTCCGACTTCAACTGTATATACTATATTCTATACTATTCTACTGTATCTTGGTCTTTGCCGCTCTGACATTGCTCATCCATATATTTATTTATATATTCTTAATTCCATTGCTTTACTTAGATTTGTGTGTATTGGGTATATGTTGTGAAATTGTTAGATATTACTTGTTAGATATTACTGCACTGTCGGAGCTAGAAACACAAGCATTTCGCTACACCCACAGTAACATCTCCTAAACACGTGTATGTGACCAATAAATGTGATTTGATTTGAATGCTTGGTAAGACATTTGTGGAGTGGTTGAAAAACGAGTTTTAATGACTCCAACCTAGGTGTATGTAAACTTCTGACTTCAACTGTATATGCGTTTCTATGTACAGTATAATATACAGTATGTGTTTGTTTTAGTGAGAGGTTCTAGTTTGTTAAACGTTGAGACCTGGTTGTGTTTGTAGACGTGGGGCTCTACTCTCTGGAAGACCCTGGGTAGCTCCTCTCCTGTGTTGTTGTCTATGACGTGGAGCAGACAGGAGGAGACTGGGGAGTAGACCTTAGCCACCAGCAGCATGTCTTTAGGCACCACGAACACCTCTCTGGAACACACACACAGTACTCACAATGAAGCTTTACTATCACATACAAAACACTAACAATGGAGGATCATGGAGAGTGTTAGCAAAACATTTTACATTCATGTATGACATGATTCAGTGCTTTATCCGTGTGTTGTGTGTGTATGTGTGTGTGTTTTCTACCTGAAGACCAGTAGCCAGGAGTTGGCCAGTTCAGGCAGAGGGACAGAGTAGTCAGTGTATGTGATTCTGGTCCACTCATCCTCCTGACAGGGGTACAGTTCAGCTGTCCTCTCATCGTTACTGAAGATGTACCTAGACAATAGAGATACAACAACCATGACTATCAGGAAAAAGAGATGCTGCATATGGGGGTCCACTCCAATACTGCATGAACAAAGGACGAGATCAGGGGCCGGATGTATGAAGCATCTCAGAATAGGAGTGCTGATCTAGGATCAGGTCCCCCCCCTGTCCATCTTATCTTATTCAGTGTAATCTAAAAAGTGAAACTGATCCTAAATCACCAGTCCTACTCTGAGACACTTGATACATGCTGCCCTAAAACTCCTGAGAGGGCTGAGAGTTACTGTATGACACTGTAACCTCACTTTGTCAACTTCACTCAAAGAGTTTGGAGTTGACAAAGATAGGGTTTATCTGTGTTTGGTGAGACGAGCACACAGGAGGCTATGAGTGAGTAAGAGTTACAAGGTGTGGACACGGACACACATCATGTTAGAAGTGGAGGATGATTATTGATTTGTACCAGGGCGACCCAGTGCCTTCAGACTGTACATTCCCTATCTGGATCCTGTCACTGGGCTCAACAGACTGGGGAAAAAATCACAGAGAGAGGGACACACAGAGAATGAGGGGTTAAACAGAATGAGGCAGATACATTTGGCCAGAATTCCCTCAGATATGACACTGAACTAACAGGCATAATCAATGTGTGAAAGAGGTCATGTGCGTAATCAGTTCCTTATGAGCTCTCTAGAAGAATACAGTTACATTTATTAGTTACAATAATGTATTACCATTGTTATATTTCTTCATCACACCAACCTGGTCATTTTATTTAAGCGCGGTATACTATGGGGAGCTTCTCTTTGGGTTACAAAGCTAAGGAGTGTGAAAACACTTCACAGCTCGGACTCAGTCCTGGGGGCTTCCATTGATCAGTGAGATCTGACTTACACACAAACAAACACACGCACGGACACACACGCGCACGCACGTGCGCGCACACACACACATGCGCGCGTGCACGGACACACACACACACACACACACACACACACACACACACACACACAAACACCCCTCACCCAGTGGATCATTCAGAAGACTCAGCGAACCGATTGGAGCAGAGAGAGGATAAACAGCAGATGGTACCACCAGGAGACGATAGAACACAATGTGGAAAACTGCTCCCCTCCCCTCTACCATGAGGCTGAGCCACGGCTATAGGACTCACTGAGGAGGACAGGGACAGACTCTGGGCATGCATGGAAAGAGGCTAAATGAATTGCTTCCATGGCACACAATGCACCTAGCTGGCACAGTGTCACAACAGTGTGCCAAGCCATATTGTTGTATGTACCCAACAATGGATGGCGCTTTGGTAACGGAAAACTGTAAATTATACGGTCATTTTGGGTGTTTTACTGGAGGATCTGACTCTGTAAATTATGGTGCATTGTGGGAAAATGTTACGGGCGGGGAAATAATTGCTGTATTTTGAATGGTACTGTAATTACACGCAACAGAATACATTTACATTTTTTGTCATTTAGCAGACGCTCTTATCCAGAGCGACTTACAGGAGCAATTTGGGTTAAGTGCCTTGCTCAAGGGCACACCGACAGATACAGTACCGTACCGTATCTTTGGAGCGCCAAAAACCTTTTGACCACTAGTGGGTGCATGGTATTGTTGTTTCTGGCTCATTAACATATTTTGAGGCGTGACTTGTAAGAGGCTATATTTGTTGCACCTGTGAGTGAGAATGCTGCACCAATTTAACTATCTGGTTCTAGTGCCCCATGTCATTTTGGCAGGCAGGTCTTTCAAGATTGACGTCAAAATTGGACGTCTATCCATGTCCCGAAGACAACGGGAAATGCTTTCAAAACCGGCCACTACGGGCAACAGTGAGCGCTATTACCATCAAGCAGGCTTGGGTAAGGGATCAGAATCCCTGCGTGTTCCACAGTGATTTTTTGGGGGGAGTTTTAACCTCATCCCAAACCTTAATGCTTACCTTAACCATTTGGAATGAGTGCCTAAACATAATGTTTTAACCCTATCCCAAACCTTAACCCTTACCTTAACGAGATACTTCGAGATTTTGGCAATGAGGCCCTTTATCTACTTCCCCAGAGTCAGATGAACTTGTGGATACCATTTTTATGTCTCTGCGTGTAGTTTGAAGAAAGTTGCTAACTAGCGCTAGCGCAATTGCTAACCAGCGTTAGTGCAATGACTTCAAGTCTATGAGTAACGTTAATGACTGCAAGTCTATGGGTATCTGCTAGCATGATAGCAGATACCCATAGACTTGCAATCATTGCATTGACGCTAGTTAGCATTGGCTCGCGAAACTACCTCTAACTTCCTTCAAACTGGACACAGAGACATAAAAATAGTATCCACGAGTTCATCTGACTCTGGGGAAGTAGATAAAGATAAAGGGGTCCCCTGTAGCTCATTTGGTAGAGCATGGCGCTTGCAACGCCAGGGTTGTGGGTTCGTTTCCCACGGGGGGCCAGTATGAAGATGTATGCACTCACTAACTGTAAGTCGCTCTGGATAAGAGTGTCTGCTAAATGATTCAAATGTAAAAATGTAATGAAGGGCCTCATTGACAAAATCCCTTTATTCGGGAAACTTAACCCGTAACTTAGAAAATTGACATTTGAGAAATGGAACGATATAGAGCAGCAGGAGCAACAGAAACACTTCAAAATTTGACGTTTGGAGCAACTTCGAAATTTGACGTTTGGACCAACTTCAAACTTTGACGTTTGGACCAACTTCAAACTTTGACGTTTGGAGAAAGTGGATGGACGTCTAATTCTGCAGTGAGACCGTGAGTCTGTTTTGCCCTGTAGTTGCTGTCAGTTGGATGCCTTTGTTAAGGCCTCTAGAAGTGCAAGTGATTTAAAACACCAAATATTCATTAATACACTGTAATGTGTAAACACCTAGCAGCCAACTTGCTTGAACCAATCCCTTGTAATTACAGTAAAATACTGTGAAATACAAACTCCTCCCCTCAATGAATTTAATGCATTTATCCATTCATTCATTAATTCATTCCGATTACGGCAGCATACTTTATTACAGTATAATACAGTCAATTTTACGTTATTGTACTGTATGTCATTACGCAGTACTTGCTTCGATACCGTATTTATATTACAGAAGGTGTACCGTAATATGAAATACAGAATTTGTCTTGCCACCAAGCTCCCTGTAAGCTACTGTCAAATTCACAGTGAGCCCTTTACAGTGTAGGGAAGAAAACACAAGTATGCAGTGTGTTGGCTAAATGAGATGTGTCATGTTTGCGTGTGCTGTGTGAGATTGGGTTTTTGTGTTGTGTGCTCTGCTGTGAATGTGTGTGATGTTGAGCTAGCTGATTAATAATTTACCTCAATAAAGACACTGCATGTTTCTCTGCATCCGATTCCACACTAGCCCACATCTCCTGAAGTGTCTTTGAGGCACTGAGATTCTCCTTTGTGCCTAGATAATACATATACACACACACCACACACACTCAGTTAAGTAGTAGCAGACATACATAAAAGATGAAAGACATTCACCTTGAAGCCAAAGACATGAACACATTGTTATAAAACTTGACTTAGTTGAAGGTAAAAAGATGAGGGAGAGTGCCAGATGCATTTTTGTATTAAAATTGTGACGGAAGTGAAAAAACACTTCAAATTTACTCATCTCCAACCCTGTTACACTAGCCCTGTACTGGAGAAATTCATAAAAGATGTAATACTTCATACTGTATCTCCTGCCACTGAGGGGTAGGGGTGTGTGTGTGTGTGTGTGTGTCTCCGTGCAAGCCTGTGTGACAGAGTCGAGGGACGTCTCAATGACAGGCGTTTCTCATCTTCTCCAAATCAACAGAGCCATTATGGGGCTGGGCTCTGGTTTGGGAGATGAAAAAGTAATCTTGTAGAGAGACGGCTGTTTGTGACAGACAGGGCATCTGAGGTAGTTAATGCTAAAAACGGACAGAGTGGCCTCTAATGAGCCTGAGACATCAGTTGTTGATGTCAGACGAAAAAATGAGGGGCCAATTCATTATTTTTCAAATGTGTTCCTAAAGTGCTTTGAGGCATGCAGTGGGTTTAAAATGTAAGGCTTGGTAATACACAGACTGGAATCGTCATCGTTTTAAATATAGTATCTAGGTATTGGGGGGAGGGGGGGCTCTATACCAAAACAAATGAGTTTCTTGAACAACCAGTGTGTAGTACCAGTGATGGAATCTGTGTGTGTTGTCCTAATGACAAGTCAAGGAGTGTAGTGTATCAGGGAGAGGGGAGTTTGGTGAGTACTGGAATCCGATGTCTCATGTCTCTGCTCCTGGCCTCACTATTGTGTTCTGACAGGCTGGACAGGACAGAGTAACCCTCAAGCCCTGGCAATAAATAGAGTCTGTTCATGTCGCTCACCTAAAAAACGCCCTCCCTCCTTCTATCCCTTTCTCTCTCCCTCTCTCTAGCTCTCCATCCTCCTCTATCCCCCCTCGCTACACTTTCCCTCAACTCGTAAACATGTCACAACAGAGCTGTTTGGATGTTCGACGGGGTGCAGGTGGGTGGGTCGATGTGTGTGTGTGTATGAATGTATGTGTGTGTTGTCCCCCCCCCACCACCACCACACCTGTCAGGGTGTATTAGTGAGAGTGGCAGACTCATAATAAGTCGCTATCTCAGCCCAGAGTCCCAAAGATAGGGCACAGGGCTAACTCTCGGCAGAGAGAGAGAGAGAGAGAGAATAATAAGATGGCATCGATGGATAAGGTCGACATCTTATGTACTCCAACCCGATTTATTTTTTATTTTTTAGTGTTTATCCATAATTTCTTTGTACAGAAAGCTCACACCTATGACCGCCGAGTACTTTTCAATTACGAATTGACAGCTACTAACTTCAACCTCGATTTCAGCTCCTACTTCAACTCAGCTTTTCCCTTGTTTACACCGGACCCTACTCCATTGTTCGGGCTACCGAAGCGCTGCAAGCAAAGACGAGGGAGGAGTGCTGGAGTATTTGTTAGACTGGCACTCCCCTCCATTTTACTGACAAATGTCCAGTCACTTGAGAACAAGATGGATGAGCTCTGTTCGAGAGATTCCTACCAACGGGATGTGAAAAGCTAATAAGTAATATTCTATGCTTTTCAGAAACTTGGCTGACAGGCGATATGGACATAATACTCAAGGGTTTCTCCATGCTTCGTCGCGACCGGAAAGCGGACTCGGGTAAAACCAAAAGGGGGAGGTGTGCCTCTTTGTGAACAACATCTGGTGCGCTGCTTCCAGTGTGAAGGAACTCTCAAGCTTTTGCTCACCTGAACTAGAATACCTCATGGTAAATTGCATACCTTTTTATCTACCAATAGAGTTTATCTGTAATCATCACTGCTGCCTACATCCTACCACAAAACGAGAATGGAACCAAGCAGGCACTCAACGAGCGGTACCGGGCCATAAACAAACAAGAAAACGCTCACCCAGAGGAAGCGTTTCTAGTGGGCGGAGACTTTAATGCCTGAAATGTGGTTTATCCCACCTTTACCAACACGTCTCCTGTGCCACAAGAGGCTCTGGACCACTTTTACTCTTAGAACAGAAATGAAGGCCTCCCATCGCCCTCCCTTCGGCAAATCATATCTTGACTCCATCCTCCTGCTTCCTGTTTACAAGCAAAAACTCAAACAGGACGTACCAGAGACGCGCTCAGTATGGAAGTGGTCTGATGAAGCAGACGCTAAGCTACAAGACTGCTGCTTCGCTAGCACAGACCAGAGTATGTTCAGGGATTTATCCGATAACATTGAGGAGTTTACCACATCAGTCATGGGTTTCATCAATAAGTGCATCGACGATGTCGTCCCCACAGTGACTGTACGTATGTACCCTAACCAAAAGCCATGGATTACAGCTTTCAATGAACGGGACAAGGACATGGATGATTACAAGAAAGCCTGCTATGACCCCGACGAGCCATCAAACATGAAAAAGGTCAATATCGGACTAATATTGAATCCTACTACACCGGTTCCGATGCTCGTCCGATGTGGTAGGGTTTGCAGACTATTACAAAATCTCCCAGATGAGCTGAATGCCTTCTATGCTCGCTTCGAGGCAAACAACACTGAACCAGACATGAGATCCCCTGCTGTCCCGGACGACTGTGTGATCTCGCTCTCCATGGCCGATGTGAGTAAGACTTTTAAATAGGTTAACACTCGCAAGGTCGCTGGGCCAGACGGAATACCAGGGCGCATTCTCAGAGTATGCGCAGACCAGCTGTCAAGTGTCTTCACAGAATTTCCAACATCTCCTTGTCCCAGTCTGTAATCCAAACATGTTTCAAGCAGACCACCATTGTCCCTGTTCCTAAGAACCAACCTAAACGACTATCGTCCCGTAGCACTCACATTTGTAACCAAGCAATGCTTTGAAAGGCTGGTCACATCAACACCATCATCACAGACACCCTGGACCCACTCCAATTTTCATACCGCCTCAACAGATCCACAGATGACGCAATCTCTATTGCACTCCACACTGCTCTCTCCCACCTGGAGGAATACCTATGTGAGAATGCTGTGCACTGACTACAGCTCAGCATTCAACAACATAGTCCCCTCCAAGCTCAACACCAAGCTCGGGACACTCGGACTGAACACCTCCCCTGCAACTGGATCCTGGACTTTCTGATGGCCGCCCCCAGGTGGTAAGGGCAGGTAACAACACATCTGCCATGCTGACCCTCAACACCGGGGCCCCTCAGGGGTGTGTGCTTAGTCCCCTCCTGTACTCCCTGTTCACCCAAGACTGTGTGGCCATGCATCACTCTAACACCATCATCCAGCTATAGTAAATAATTTATCTAATTGTGCTCTGATTGTACCTTGTAAAATTGTCCCTGAGGCCATTGGAAAATTGAATTGAATAACATTGAGAAGTTTGATTGTGAGTGTGAGGCCGTATTAACTCATTATTACCTGGTTTAGTAGCATTGCGGATGAGGACATTATTAACCCATTATTACCTGGTTTAGTAGCGTTGAGGATGAGGACAGTATTAACCCATGATTAGTTGGTTTAGTAGCGTTGAGGATGAGGACAGTATTAACCCATTATTACCTGGTTTAGTAGCGTTGAGGATGAGGACAGTATTAACCCATTATTACCTGGTTTAGTAGCATTGAGGATGAGGACAGTATTAACCCATTATCTGGTTTAGTAGCATTGAGGATGAGGACAGTCTTAACCCATTATTACCTGGTTTAGTAGCATTGAGGATCTCGCGGACTAGATGTCCCTTAAAGCCGGCCTGGAGGATCCTGACTGCCTGGATTTCCTGCTCTGTGGGCTTCCTGCTGCCCCAACCCTCTGGTGCCTCACAATCTGTACAACACACAATGATACACACAATGCTTACACATACACTCACATTCTTGGAGAAAAATAAATACACACACACACCTGTACCTGTATCTGTGGGGGATGGTCCCCTTGTCTCGTTTGTGCAGAGCGAGGGGTCGTTGGTGAGGGCCTGGACAGCAAACAGCTCCTCTGCTGACAGCTTCCTGTCCAGAGCAACGCAGATCATGTGATACACTGCTTCATTAAACACCTGCACAGACAGGAGTCGGGGAGGTCAGTGCGTGCACCGAGAGAGTGTGAGTGTGAGTGTGAGTGTGTGTGTGTGTGTGTGTGTGTGTGTGTGTGTGTGTGCAGGGCCGGCTTACCGACCGGGCACGCAGGGCACGTGCCCTGGGGTCCCCGACCTCCAGGGGACCCCCAACCAAAAAGGAGGTTGTGGGCCCCCCAAATAGCATATGAAGTTTCAAGTTATATTAGTACGGGATACACACGGTATACACCTTCCAACAAAATGCTTACTTGCAGGTTCCTTCTCAACAATGCAACAACAATAAGAAATTATCAAATATAAGAATACGAACATAAAGTAAATGGCTACATTTATTGTGTGTGTGTGTGTGTGTGTGTGTGTGTGTGTGTGTGTGTGTGTGTGTGGATGTCTTTGTGGATGTCTGTGTGGGTGAGTGCATGTGTGCTAAGGTGCGGAAAATCAGAGCAGGTGGTCAGTCCAGTTCAAGAGTTCAGCAGTCTGATGACTTGTAGATAGAAACAGTCTCTGAGCCTGTTGGTGTCAGACCTCATGCTCCGATATCGTCTGCCCGACCGTAACGGAGTGAAAAGCTCATGGCTGAGGTGTGTGGGGTCCTTGATGATGCTGCAGGCACCGTTTCGAGTAGATGTCCTGGATGGGTGGGAGCACAGTCCCAGTGATGTACTGGGCCATCTTCACCACCCGCTGGAGGGCTTTGCGGTCGTGGACGGAGCAATTCCCGTACCAGGCCGTGATGCAACTGGTCAGGATGCTCTCGATGGTGTAGCGGTAGTATTTGGAGAGGAACTGGGGGTGGCATGCCACATTTTTTCAGCCGTCTTAGGAAGTATTGACACTGCTGTGCCCTCTTGACAAGAGTGGTGGTGTTGTTGGTCCATGACAAATCCTTGGTGATGTGGACGCCGAGGAGCTTAAAACCTGTGACTCTTTCTACTGCAGTCCCGTTGATGCGGATCGGAGCATGTTAACTCCTCTGCTTCATGAAGTCAACAATCAACTCCTTTATTTTGCTGACGTTGAGGGAGAGGTTGTTGTCCTGGCACCACAATGCCAGTTCACTTACCTCCTCCCTATAGGCTGACTTGTCGTTTTTGGTTATCAGGCCTACAACCCTGGTGTCGTCAGGAAAGCAATGTCAAAATGTGTTGAATAGCAGGAAATTCGCTTTAAAATTGCATTATTTTCTCTCAGCCTCATAGCATAATGGAAGAATAGCATGAGAGGAGCTATAAAACAGAACATGTTTCTCTGCGCCTCATGTAGAAAAGGCAGGAAGTTAGCTGTTTTCCTAAAAAGAAACTCGGAGGTAGGTGCCCCGGGACCCCAAATGTGGTAGTCCAGCCCTGAGTGTGTGTGTTTGTGTGTGTGTGTGTGTGTCCAGTGTTAGTGTCAGTGTGCGTGTGTATGTGTATGTGTGTGTGTCCTACCCTCTGGTGGTCTCGCAGCCCTCCGACGGTGCTGAGCTGAGCTGGACAGTGGGCGTCCCCCAGAGCCCCGGAGGCTGCTGGGAGCTCCAGCTCGTCTGAGAAGGAGCTGACCACTCTGCCCAGGAGCCTCAGAATAGACAGAGCTTGCTCACAAAAACGCACACTCTCCTGGAGGTGGGGAGGAGAGGGAGGAAGGAAGGGAAAGGAGGGGGTGGGGGTAAGGACACATGAGGTGAAAGTGGAGACTCAAAGACAAACAGAGAAAATGCTCCTCGGTTCTGTCCATTCCTTCTGCTTATTTACCGCATCCCATGGAGAAGAGTTATCAAACACACTTCTTGTGCAAATACTGCCTCACTAGTCATTTTTCAACTGCCTGAGTCTGCATGTGGCATGAATAAGTCAACATGTTCACACAGTCTTGGCTCTATAAGAGAAAGTCCCTGTAGCCTGAGCAGCCACAGTACACTGCCTGCCTGCTTGAGCATCTAACCTCTCCTCCCTCCCCTCCTCTCCCCTCCTCTCCCCTCCTCTCCTCTCCTCTTCTCCCCTCCCCTTCCCTCCGGCTTTTGGTGTATCGTGACCAGCATCAGCTTTCCGTGACGGACAGAGGGAGAAACAAGAGAGAGAGAAGGGGAGAGAGAGAGAGCAAAAGAGAGGAGGGGAGAGAGAGAAAGACTAGAGCAGAGAGAGATCTCTGACCCACTGTAGGCCTGAGTGCAGAGTGGATATCATCCTTAACATCAGACGCGCATCCGAGAGGAAGAGGAGAGGTAAGAAGAGGAGGATGAGGAGGTATCCCCATGCCTGAGTGGGCGTATAAACAGAAGGTGAGGAGAAACCAAGTGGCTATTATGGTATGGCTGTCTGCTGGCGTTTCCATGGTGACGGTGGTGTCCTCTAACTTACCTTGTCGAGGTGAGGCATGACGGTCTCCTCGTCTCCGAAGACGAAGGGTGCCATGCTGTACAGGTGGACGTGGTAGCCCAGAGGCGCCCTCGTGTGGATGCACAGGACATGACGCCTAGGGCAGGGGAGGAGAATGAGAGAGTAGAGAATGGAGGGATAGAGAAGCGGTGAGTGAGAGGAAAGAGAGCGGGATCAGATTAGCCCTAACATTCTGTGAAAGCAACCCCCCATCACCAGATAACAAACCATGAAACTTTGAATTGATAAAAACCCAATGATAGCGCTAGCCTGCTTAGAGCTGCTGCACCAAGAGCTAGTCAACTTTACAGGGTCATTTCCATATACAGCAGGTTAATAATGCCTTCCCCTCAGCCCCAATTACAAAGCCATGTCTCCGTCTTGCAGTAATGTCTTCCTGGCTGCCTGGGTCAAGTGTGGTCCACTCATAGAGTAGTCGGGCTAATGCACCGTTGGCCCACAGCAGCTCACAGCCCTGATGGAACACTGCCAGCCTGACAGAGTGGAGCTGGACTCCTCCATCCCATTAGCTTAGCATAATACAGCCATCACAGCCAAACGTGATCGATGACAATAGACCTGATTGGTGTTGGGCTTAAGAGAATAGGATCATGGATAGAGGGACAAGGAGAGGGGAGTGGTAGCGAGATAAAACGAAGCGAGGGAAATATAAAAGAGGGAGAGATACTGTAGATTGATAGTGTGTGTGTGAGAGAGATCAAGGGAACGATCGAGAGATAGAAAAGGATTGAATAGACAGAGAGAGAGCGCAAACGAGAGAGAGAGAAAGATACCCCAGAGTGAGAGGTTGAGATTGAGTTCATTATAATTTGGCGGAATCAGCATCCCCTCCCCCACACTTCAATCACGTAGTAGTGCTCAGGGACGCATGGTGCGCTAAGTGTTACGTTTACACCACGGCACAGTGGTAATTGTACCTCCGCCTGACCCCAGAAACTAGGCCCCCTGCTTCTAGGCCAACCAGAAGCCATTAATAGAGACTAGGGCAAGTTATTTTCTCAGAGCATCAGATCTAACTGTATAAGATATATCGACGGTATGAGGTTTCAGCTTTAGCTTTGGAAATCAGCAGTTAAGTTAATAGTGTAAAGGTTATGTTGGGTTATTTTAATCAGTAATACCTTATAAAATACTGGTCTCATGAGAGCACAAGTTCAACCTGCAAACATCAGGAGGGTGTGGTGAGGCTTTTATGCACCCTGATGATGGCCAAATTTGGAACATGGGCACCATGTTACTGCTTCAGAGTGTCATGAAATGTCTGGTGCCAACAACAGTTTGTATATGTATGGCTGGTGGTGAGGGTGGACAGGCCAGGTTGGGCAAGGTCTTACCCAGGGGGGAGGACCAGCAGGGCAGCCTTGCAGGCAGTGGTCTTGATGTGGAGTACAGGTAGCTGACACAGCAGACTCTTCCAGGAGTAGGGCTCTGCTATGAGAACTCCAGACCTGCACACAGGACTCTCCTTCTCTACAGGAAGACAGAAGAGAGATAAACAGATGGCCGTACACAAAAGCACAGTGCTGTTGATGGGTTATAATGGTACGCTACATGACAAAAAGTATGTGGACACCTGCTCGTCGAACATGGTCCCCCCTTTGCTGCTATAACAGGCTTTCCACTAGATGCTGGAACATTGCTATGGGGACTTTCTTCCATTCAGCCACCAGAGCATTAGTGAGGTAGGCCTGGCTCGCAGTCGGCCGTCTAATTAATCCCAAAAGTGTTCGATGGGGTTAAGGTCAGGGCTCTGTGCAGGCCAGTCAAGTTCTTCCACACCGATCTCGAAAAGCCATTTCTTTATGGATCTCGCTTTGTGCACAGGGGCATTGTCATTCTGAAACAGGAAAGGGCCCCAAACTGTTGCCACAAAGTTAGAAGCAAAACATCGTCTAGAATGTCATTGTATGCTGTAGCGTTAAGATTTCCCTTCACTGGAACGACGGGCCTAGCCCGAACCATGAAAAACAGCCCCAGACCATTATTCCTTCTCCACCGAATTTTACAGTTGGCAATATGCATTCGGGCAGGTAGCGTTCTCCTTGCATCCGCCAAACCCAGATTTGTCCGTCGGACTACCAGAGGGTGAAGCGTGATTCATCACTCAAGAGAACGCGTTTCCACTGCTCCAGAGTCCAATGGTGGCGAGCTTTACACCACTCCATCCGACGTTTGGCATTGCACATGGTGATCTTAGGCTTGTGTGTGTGGCTGCTCGGCCATGGAAACCCATTTCATGATCTCCCAACGAACAGTTATTGTGCTGATGTTGCTTCCAGAGGCAGTTTGGAACATGGTAGTGAGTGTTGCAACCGAGGACAGAAGATTTTTAAGCGCTACGCGCTTCAGCACTCGGCGGTCCCGTTCTATGAGCTTGTGTGGCCTACCACTTCGCGGTTGAGCCGTTGTTGCTCCTAGACGTTTCCACTTCACAATAACAGCACTTACAGTTGACTGGGACATCTGTAGCAGGGCAGAAATTAGACGAACTGACTTGTTGGAAAGGTGGCATCCTATGACGGTGCCACGTTGAAAGTCACTAAGCTCTTCAGTAAGGCCATTTTTACTGCCAATGTTTGTCTATGGAGATTGCATGGCTGTGTGCTCGATTTTATACACCTGTCAGCAACGGGTGTGGCTGAAATAACCGAATCCACTAATTTGAAGGGGTGTCCACATACTTTTGATATGGAGACGTGTGTGATGTGCGTGTGTTTGTGATTGAGTGAGCATGGATGGGTATGAGTGCTGTGTTCATTGTATTATGAAACATGTGTACACCATGTGCATGTTTGAGTGCAATATAATCATGTGTCTGTGGTATGCGCATGGGTGTGTGCATGTGTGCACGTCCAAGTGTGTGTGTGTACACTGCATACCTGTGTGTGTGCGCATGAGCATATGTGAGTGAGAGGGTGTGTGTGTGTGTGTGTGTCCATGCATGTCGGTGTGTGTTTTTGTATGTTAGGCCCTTACTCTCATCGGCTGTCTCTCCCCAGTGTACCAAAGCAGAGAAGCTGATGAGGATGTGGGAAGGCTGCAGGCTGTCCACAAACAGGTAGTGAGAGCCCTTCTCATCTGGAGACTGGAGAAGCACACAGACAGACAGCACCAAGCTACACTCATCAGTATGGAGGGGAGGAGAAGGAAAAGAGGGGGGAGAGAGAGGGAGAGAGAGAGAGAGAGAAAGAAAGAGAGGAAGAGGGGAAGCATGCAAGGCAGCAACATAAGGAATGAGAAGGGAGATGGGAGTATGGAAGGACAGAGAGCCACAGAGAAAAAGACAGATAAAGAGCTCCTTCTCAATGCCACATGCATGCACACACAGGCCCCCAGAGAGGGTGGCTGCAGTCCTAACACTGTGGGCTGATTACAATCTCAGGTGCAGTGCAGTGTGCTGGACAGTAAAGCCCATCAGTAGAGAAGGTGTACCTGTGGAAACACAACAGCAGAGGGCGCTGTGAGGCGTGGCTGGGCGACAGGGAAGGCAGATTGGGAAGATGGGAGTGTGTCAAGGCATGCATGTATACTGGAAGGGGAGAGTTAGCTCCGTACCATTTAAAGAAGCTTTGAGTTTGACAAACACAGTACAAATGCAAATGATAGAGGTAGCTATAAGATATTACTGGATACAGGCTGCAGCATTTTGCCCCCTGTATTTATTGTACTAGGATGATAGGTGACGCTGCAGACACAGTGAAGTTTAGGTGCACGGATGGTTATTGTGCCTGAATAGAATGGATGTTACAGTAAGGTGTAGTTGTTCAGGTGTAGCTGTACAGGTGTAGTTGTTCAGGTGTAGTTGTTCAGGTGTAGTTGTTCAGGTGTAGTTGTTCAGGTGTAGCTGTACAGGTGTTGTTGTTCAGGTGTACCTGTACAGGTGTAGTTGTTCAGGTGTAGCTGTACAGGTGTTGTTGTTCAGGTGTACCTGTACAGGTGTAGTTGTTCAGGTGTAGCTGTACAGGTGTAGTTGTTCAGGTGTAGTTGTTGTACAGGTGTAGTTGTTCAGGTGTAGTTGTACAGGTGTAGTTGTTCAGGTGTAGTTGTACAGGTGTAGTTGTACAGGTGTAGTTGTACAGGTGTAGTTGTTCAGGTGTAGCTGTACAGGTGTAGTTGTTCAGGTGTAGCTGTACAGGTTGTGTAGTGAGTTGTGGTTCAGGTGTAGCTGTACAGGTGTAGTTCTGATGTCAGGTGTAGTTGTTCAGGTGTAGCTGTACAGGTGTAGTTGTTCAGGTGTAGCTGTACAGGTGTAGTTGTTCAGGTGTAGTTGTACAGGTGTAGTTGTTCAGGTGTAGCTGTACAGGTGTAGTTGTACAGGTGTAGCTGTACAGGTGTAGTTGTTCAGGTGTAGTTGTACAGGTGTAGCTGTAGTGTACAGGTGTAGTTGTACAGGTGTAGTAGGTGTAGTTTACAGGTGTAGTTGTACAGGTGTTGGTGAAGTGTAGTTGTCAGGTGTATTGTTCAGGTGTAGTTGTACAGGTGTAGCTGTACAGGTGTAGTTGTTCAGGTGTAGCTGTACAGGTGTAGCTGTACAGGTGTAGTTGTACAGGTGTAGCTGTAGCTGTACAGGTGTAGTTGTTCAGGTGTAGTTGTACAGGTGTAGTTGTACAGGTGTAGTTGTTCAGGTGTAGTTGTACAGGTGTAGCTGTACAGGTGTAGTTGTTCAGGTGTAGCTGTTCAGGTGTAGCTGTACAGGTGTAGCTGTACAGGTTTGTATTGTACCTGAATATGAGCAGCAGCAGAGGAACCTGGGTGGCGTACAGGTGTAGCAGCAGAGTGGGTGGAGCCCACAGGGCAGTTGAGAGCCATGGATGACACTTTGGATGAGATGGTGCTCTGATGATGACAAAACCAGGGATGTCATTCCATCTATCAACACTATCATACAGTTTTCACTCCATGTATTGTATGGATGACCAAGATCTGTTTAAAATGCCCTTAAAACTCTCTTATCAATAAAGGTTTGTTTGTTTGAGCTTGATAATTATTTTTGCATTGGGTGTGTCTCAATCAACTGAGCCCGCAGATGTCAGCCATTAGCCTGTGTGATGGCTGGGAGCTGCGGTAGAGTGTTTTTTGTGAGACGAGGGAGGATCTTCCGAGCGCTTTCGCTCAAGACAAACGTCTGTAAACTTTGAATGGTTTGAGCTACAAACTATTATGATCCCATTCTGAAAAGCTTAGACTCTCACGAATATGTACGTGTTATCTGTTTTACGATGTTCAGAAGCAGCAAGGGACCCAAGGACGCCACCGTCCCAACTCCCTACAAAATTACTGTGCAGTAAAATATAATACACAATTATAGACTTATTCTGTCAAATCATACTTCTTTCTGATTTATCTTTTTTGCCATGTATTTGTGTGTTATTTAATCTTTTTCTATGGGATTATAGCTGTTAGGGCAAATTCAATGTTTCATCAAATAATGTTTACATATATTTTTTATACCTACAGGGGTCCTAAAATAAAAATCTATTTTATTAATATCCTAAAACAATTCCATATGTTAGGTTAGTAGATATCCTTGAAAAAAGGCTTAGACCCTACTTAGAAATACATTTACCTTGAAATGGGACTTCTGGAAATGGTTTGGATATGTGTTTGGCTTGTGGAAAACCACAAGTGTCCTGAAAAATCAAAGCAGTATTTTGCATCAACCCCCTGGACTGTAAGAAAGAGAGTAGTGCCCTTCAGAGCCATATAAATACAGTACTACATAGATATAAGCCAGTGGGTCTTACTGGAAGCACTTGGAGAAGTCATCCAGGTCTACCCAGGACTCCTGTAACATAGGCTTCTCAGAAACAATCATATCCTGAGACTTCAGCAGCGCCGGGCTGGGCTCCTTAGCCTGTTTGGCCCGCTCTGGGGCTGGGGCAGGGGCTGACTCCCACACCTCCTGATCTGTAGAGAGGACATGTCACAAACTGACTATCACTGAAATGTTAGAGATCATCTCAAACTGACACAGATCATGATGAGAAAGCTTTGTGTAAGCTATAGAATTGATTTGTTAGCCGCTTTTGATCTATATTATTGTGAGCTATAAAGTATATGAGAGTTATTAACTATACAGTAGATCAAACATAATCAATCCCTATAGCAAAATCTGAAGCCTTTACAAATGAAACCCCAAAACTAAGGAAATGAATAAGTATCAGCTGAATAGATAGGATATTGACTTTTTTATGACCCATTTTATGGCTGTGAGATAATGTGTTGCTATTAAATATAAATAGCAGTGTTTTTCTAGTGACTCATAAGGAACTTGGTCTGTGCTGATCTACAGTAGGCTATGTGGCATCTGGGGCCCATACATTAGCATATATTCAGGAGACTCAGCTCAACACTGCTCACTCCCACATAATGCTTCCATCTAAACACACATATCATTGATCATATATCAGTGAAGTTCCACTCAAAGAGAAGATGATGATGCTTGTGGAGCTACACTGTTCTTAACTGACTTGCCTAGTTAAATAAAGGTAAAATTAAAAAATATTTTAAAAATAAACACTACCATTCAAAAGTTTGGGGTCACTTAGAAATGTCCTTGTTTTCCATGAAAATATATATGAAATTAGTTTGAATAGGAAATATAGCAAAATGAATAGGAAATGTAGTCATTGACAAGGTTAGAAATAATGATTTTTAATTGAAATAATAATTGTGTCCTTCAAACTTTGCTTTTGTCAAAGAATCCTCCATTTGCAGCAATTACAGCCTTGCAGACCTTCGGCATTCTAGTTGTCAATTTGTTGAGGTAATCTGAAGAGATTTCACCCCATGCTTCCTGAAGCACCTCAAGTTGGATTGGCTTGATAGGCACTTCTTACGTACCATACGATCAAGCTGCTCCCAGAACAGCTCAATAGGGTTGAGATCCGGTGACTGTGCTGGCCACTCCATTATAGACAGAATACCAGCTGACTGCTTCTTCCCTAAATAGTTCTTGCATAGTTTGGAGCTGTGCTTTGGGTCATTGTCCTGTTGTAGGAGGGAATTGGCTCCAATCAAGCGCAGTCCACAGGGTATGGCATGATTGCAAAATGGAGTGATAGCCTTCCTTCTTCAAGATCCATTTTACCTTGTACAAATCTCCCACTTTACCACCACCAAAGCACCCCCAGACCATCACATTGCCTCCACCATGCTTGACAGATGGCACTCCACCAGCAACTTTTCATTTGGTCTGCGTCTCACAAATGTTCTTCTTTGTGATCCGAACACCTCAAACTTCGATTAATCTGTCCATAACACTTTTTTCCAATCTTCCTCTGTCCAGTGTATGTGTTCTTTTGTCCATCCTAATTTTTTTTTTTCATTGGCCAGTCTGAGATATGGCTTTTTCTTTGCAACTCTGCCTAGAAGGTCAGCATCCCGGAGTAGCCTCTTCACTGTTGACGTTGAGACTGGTGTTTTGCGGGTACTATTTAATGAAGCTGCCAGTTGAGGACCTATGAGGCGCCTGTTTCTCAAACTAGACACTCTAATGTATTTGTCCTCTTGCTCAGTTGTGCACCGGGGCCTCCCACTCCTCTTTCTATTCTGGTTAGAGCCAGTTTGCGCTGTTCTGTGAAGGGAGTAGTACACAGCGTTGTACGAGATCTTCAGTTTCTTGGCAATTTCTCGCTTGGAATAGCCTTCGTTTCTCAGAACAAGAATAGACTGATGAGTTTCAGAAGAAAGTTATTTGTTTCTGGACATTTTGAGCCTGTAATCGAACCCACAATTGCTGATGCTCCAGATACTCAATTAGTCTCAAGAAGGCCAGTTTTTTTGCTTCTTTAATCAACACAACAGTTTTCAACTGTGCTAACATAATTGCAAAAAGGGTTTTCTAATGATCAATTAGCCTTTTAAAATGATAAACTTGGATTAGCAAACACAACGTGCCATTGGAACACAGGACTGATGGTTGCTGATAATGGGCCTCTGTACGCCTATGTAGATATTCAATTAAAAACCAGCCATTTCCAGCTACAATAGCCATTTACAACATTAACAATGTCTACACTGTATTTCTGATCAATTCGATGTTATTTTAATGGACAATAATTTTTTTCAAAAACAATGACATTTCTAAGTGATCCCAAACTTTTGAACGGTAGTGTATATAGGGCTATAGGCAAAGCACCGTGCTGAGCAATGGTCGTCCTGTTCCTCCAATGTCAGGTGTTACTAAGCAACAAAAAGAGAGGAAGAGGGAGGCTGGATAATTGGACGGTTGTCATAAGGCATCATTCCAGATGCATCTTCAAAGAGTCTCAGCCAAGGAACCAAAGGAGGGAAGGAAGGAGGAGAGGAAGGGGGGAAGAGGAAGGAGAAAAAGACACACGACTCCTAAACACATCTGTACATTACACTAATAGTGACATCCAGTAGCTTTACAAACCACCATCAAATCAATGGATGCACTTCTTAAAGTACCATTAATGAAATCTAGGTTGGTTTTCACAATATCTTCTTGTCACTTTCAGTGATAGTAAAGAATCAGACTGATCAGTGTATAGCGCTGTGGTATGATGTAGTGTATGTACTGTGTGGTGGTTGGGTGGAATTGAGATGGTCTTTACCATTGGTGGTATTGTCGTCCTTCTTCTTGTCCTCTGCTATAACCTAAAGGGATAGAGTGATGGGGGGAGAAGGAGGGGAGAAATAACCAGTTACAAACATTGGGGGAGAGTAAGAGACAAGGAGAGAGAGAGAGAGAGAGAGAGAGAGAGAGAGAGAGAGAGAGAGAGAGAGAGAGAGAGAGAGAGAGAGAGAGAGAGAGAGAGAGAGAGAGAGTGAGAGTTGAGCAGCAGAGGGTCTATAGTATACAGTTGATGCCTGCAATCCTCCTATCCCAACTGAACTGCAGACAGAGCAAGAGAGAGAGAGAGTGAGAGACAGAGCAGAGAGCTATCTGGCGCGGGAACACCAGGCAGACATGCCTTAATGTGACAAGGCAAGGGGACTCCTTCCTCCCCAGCTAAATGAACACTACATGTGGACTGTAATCGTGTTACTTAGCTTGTTAACAAATGTAGAGGCCAGGCATTGTGTTGTGTATCAGAGCATGCTTCTCAGTTCCAGGGATTATGAAACTGTTCCAGGGATTATGAAAACACTTACATGTCATGTTCCATTCAACAAGCTAATTAAGACATAGAGAGGCTGAATCTGAAATGGCACCCTATTCACTACATAGTAGTACATACCGATAGGGCTCTGGTCAAAAGTAGTGCTATATTCATTTAAAAATATGTTTGTTATTGCCTTCGATTGAATAAGAACGTATCATGATGTAAATAAATATCCTTAGTTTGGAGACTTTTTTGGGGTGGGACTGCAATTTGCACCACTTCTGTAGAAGTGTTTATACACATATTTATATTAAGAGGTGCCTGTCCCAAACCCTGACTCATAAACTTTTTTTTTTACACAATGAGTTCAATAGAACATTGTGAGTTGTTTTGTTATTACATTGAAAGATACTGTTCTAATTAGTAGTTTTAATGGCATTGAGGAGCACACCACATCAGTCAATGGCTTCATCAATAAGTGCATCGATGACGTCGTCCCCACAGTGACCGTAAGTACATACCCCAACCAATGGATTACAGGCAACATCTGCACTGAGCTAAAGGGTAGAGCTGCCGATATTAAGGAGCCGGATTCTAACCTGGACGCTTATAAGAAATCTCGCTATGCCCTCCGACAAACCATCAAACAGGCAAAGCGTCAATACAGGACTAAGATTTAATAGTATTACACCGGCTCTGACGATAGTCGGATGTGGCAGGACTTGCAAACTATTACAGACTACAAAGGGAAACACAGCCGCGAGCTGCCCAGTGACACGAGCCTACCAGACGAGAAAAATCACTTCTATGCTCTCTTCGAGGCAAGCAACACTGAAGCATGCATGAGAGCATCAGCTGTTCCGGACGACTGTGTGATCACGCTCTCCATAGCCGATATGAGTAAAACCTTTAAACAGGTCAACATCCGGACGCAGGGACAGACAGATTACCAGGATGTGTACTCCGAGCATGCGGTGACCAACTGGCAAGTGTCTTCACTGACATTTTCAACCTGTCCCTGACTGAGTCTGTAATATCAACATGTTTCAAGCAGACCACTATAGTCCCTGTGCACAATAACACTAAGGTAACCTGCCTAAAAGACTACACACCTGTAGCACTCAAGTCTGTAGCCATGAAGTGCTTTGAAAAGCTGGTCATGGCTCACATCAACACCATTATCCCTTAGGACCCTGGGACTAAACACCTCCCTCTGCAACTGGATCCTGGACTTCCTGACGGGCCAACACCCTGGTGGTAAGGGTAGGTAACAACACATCTGCCACGCTGATCCTCAACACAAGGGCCCCTCAGGGGTGTGCGCTCAGTCCCCTCCTGTACTCGCTGTTCACCCATGACTGCATGGCCAGGCACGACTCCAACACCATCATTAAGTTTGCCGACGACACAACAGTGGTAGGCCTGATCACCGACAACAATGAGACAGCCTATAGGGAGGAGGTCAGAGACCTGGCCGTGTGGTGCCAGGATAACAACCTCTCCCACAACGTGATCCAAGACAAAGGAGATGATTGTGGACTACAGGAAAAGAAGGATCAAGCACGACCCCATTCTCATCGACGGGACTGTAGAGGAGCAGGTTGAGAGCTTCAAGTTCCTTGGTGTCTACATCACCAACAAACTATCATGGTCCAAACACACCAAGACAGTCGTGAAGAGGGCACGACAAAGCCTATTCCCTCTAAGGAGACTGAAAAGATTTGGCATGGGTCCCCAGATCCTCAAAAAGTTATACAGCTGCACCATCGAGAGCATCCTGACTGGTTGCATCACTGACTGGTATGGCAACTGCTCGGCCTCCGACCGGAAGGCACTACAGAGGGTAGTGCGTACGGCCCAGTACATCACTGGGGCCAAGTATCCTGCCATCCAGGACCTCTATACCAGGCAGTGTCAGAGGAAGGCCCTAAAAATTGTCAAAGACTCCAGCCACCCTAGTCATAGACTGTTCTCTCTGCTAACAGACGGCAAGCGGTACCGGAGCGCCAAGTCTAGTTCTAAAAGGCTTCTTAAAAGCTTCTACCCCCAAGCCATAAGACTCCTGAACAGCTAATCAAATGGCTACCCGGACTATTTGCGCTGTCCCCCCACCCCCTCTTTTATGCTGCTGCTACTCTAAATGTATGATCTATGCAGTCACTTTAACTATACCACATGTACATATCACCTCAATTACCTTGACTAACCGGTGCCCCCGCACATTGACTCTGTACCGGCACCCCCTGTATATAGCCTCGCTACTGTTATTTTTACTGTTATTTTACTGCTTTTATTTTTTACTTATCTATTGTTTACTTAAAACTGCATTGTTGGTTAAGGGCTTGTAAGTAAGCATGTCACTGTAAGGTCACCTGTCGTATTCGGCGCATGTCACAAATACAATTTAATTTGATTTGATCATCTAACCACATCATATGATATAGCAGTCTTGTGCCGACTGCACAGTCAATAACGTGATATGCAACCATTGGTTGACGCATGCAACATCTAAACAGGGGAACGCGACCATGATGTGGTTAGCTGATACGTAAAATACCTATCCAGATGTTGTAAGATCTGGCAGGCGTCAGCTACGTCTAAGCAGCGGAACGTGCCCATTGAGATGAGAGTAATGCAAGTCAGTCAAACAGAGTGTTTGCGCATGTGCCCGGGTGCACTTCACACCGCTACAATGTGGTAGCTATTGGACCAAAACAGCTGAGACGTTTAACCTCACGCTTCAAAGCTCATGGTTACTGAGGAAATTCACCCACTAATACTGTTTATTTGGTGCATCTACAGTGCATTTGGAAAGTATTCAGAACCCTTTACTTTTTCCACATTTTGTTAGGGTACAGCCTTATTCTAAAATTGATTAAATTATTTTTCGCCCCCTCATCCACCCCCATAATGACAAAGCAAAAACAGGTTTTTACAAATTCTTGCACATTTTATATTTCTAAACAGAAATATCACATTTACATAAGTATTCAGACCCATTAATTTGTACTTTGTTGAAGCACCATTGGCAGCGATTACAGCATCGAGTATGACGCTACAAGCTTGGCACACCTGTATTTGGGGAGTTTCTCCCATTCTTCTCTGCAGATCCTCTCAAGCTCTGTCAGGGTGGATGGGGAGCGTTGCAGCACAGCTATTTTCAGGTCTCTCCAGAGATGTTAGATCGGGTTCAAGTCTGGGCTCTGGCTGGGTCACTCAAGGACATTCAGAGACTTTTCCCGAAGCAACTCCTGCGTTGTCTTTGCTGTGTGCTTTGGGTTGTTGTCCTGTTGGAAGGCGAACATTCGCCCTAGTTCGAGGTCCTGAGCGTCTGGAGCAGGTTTTCATCAAGGATCTCTCTGTACTTTTCTCTGTTCATCTTTCCCTCGATCCTGAGTAGTATCCCAGTCCCTTCCGCTGAAAAACATTCCACAGCATGATGATTCAGGCCAAAGAGTTCAATCTTGGATTAATCATACCAGATAATCTTGTTTCTCATGGTCTGAGAGTCTTTAGGTGCCTTTTGGCAAACTCCAAGCAGGCTGTCATGTGCCTTTTACTGAGGAGTGGCTTCCGTCTGGTCACTCTACCATAAAGGCCTGATTGGTGAAGTGCTGCGGAGATGGTTTTACTTCTGGAAGGTTCTCCAATCTCCACAGAGGAACTCTAGAGCTCTGTCAGAGTGACCATCGGGTTCTTGGTCACCTCCCTGACCAAGACCCTTCTCCCCCGATTGCTCAGTTTGGCTGGGCAGCCAGCACTAGGAAGAGTCTTAGTGGTTCCAAACTTCTTCCATTTAAGAATGATGTAGGCTGCTGTGTTCTTATGACCTTCAATGCTGCAGAAATGTTTTGGTACCCTTCCACAGATCTGTGCCTTGACACAATCCTGTCTCGGAGCTCTTCGGACAATTCCTTCGACCTCATGGCTTGGTTTTTGCTCTGACATGCACTGTCAACTGTGGGACCTTATATACAGTTGAAGACAGAAGTTTACATACACTTAGGTTGGAGTCATTAAAACTCGTTTTTCAAACACTCCACAAATTTCTTGTTAACAAACTATAGTTTTGGCAAGTCGGTTAGGACATCTACTTTGTGCATGACACAAGTAATTTTTCCAACAATTGTTTACAGACAGATTATTTCACTTGTAATTCACTGTATCACAATTCCAGTGGGTCAGAAGTTTACATACATTAAGTTGACTATGCCTTTAAACAGCTTGGAAAATTCCAGAAAATGATGTCATGGCTTTAGAAGCTTTTGATAGGCTAATTGACATCATTTTAATCAATTGGAGGTGTACCTATGGATGTATTTCAAGGCCTACCTTCAAACTCAGTGCCTCTTTGCTTGACATCATGGGAAAATCAAAAGAAATCAGCCAAGACCTCAGAAAGAAAATTGTAGACCTCTACAAGTCTGGTTCATCCTTGGGAGCAATTTCCAAACACCTGAAGGTACCACGTTCATCTGTACAAACAATAGTACGCAAGTATAAACACCATGGGACCACACAGCCGTCATACCGCTCAGGAAGGAGACGCGTTCTGTCTCCTAGAGATGAACGTACTAAATTAATCCCAGAACAACAGCAAAGGACCTTGTGAAGATGCTGGAGGAAACAGGTATAAAAGTATCTATATCCACAGTAAAACGGGTCCTATATCGACATAACCTGAAAGGCCACTCATCAAGGAAGAAGCCACTGCTCCAAAACCACCATAAAAAAGCCAGACTACTGTCACGATCGTCATAATGATTGGACCAAGGCGCAGCGTGATATGCGTACATCTTTTTAATAGTGTACTGGCAACACGATACAAAATACAAAACAACAAAACGAAACGTGAAGTCCTCGGTTAACAACACAAACCAACACGGAACAAGATCCCACAAAACACAAGTGCACCACAGGCTGCCAAAGTATGGTTCCCAATCAGAGACAACAAGCAACAGCTGATTCTCGTTGCCTCTGATTGAGAACCACCCCGGCCAACCTAGAAAACACATGAACTAGAAACTGAACATAGAACACAAAACATAGACCCTACACACCCTGGCTCAACATATAAGAGTCCTCAGAGCCAGGGCGTGACAGTACCCCCCCCCACAAAGGCGCGGACTGCGACCGCACCAACATAAACCCAACAGGGGAGGGGCCGGGTGTGACCACCACCCTCTAACAACCCCCCCGTAGCGCCCCTGGTCTGGTCCCGCTGGTTGGAGCTGGACTGGACATCGGTGGAGCGGATTGACCAGGCACCGGTGAAACAGGCACGGGCTGTGCCGGACTGACGACGCGCACCACAGGCTTGGTGCGGGGAGCAGGAACAGGCCGGGCCGGGCTGACGACGCGCACCATAGGCTTGGTGCGGGGAGCAGGAACGGGCCGGGCCGGGCTGGCAACGCGCACCATTGGCTTGGTGCGGGGAGCAGGAACGGGCCGGGCCGGGCTGGCGACGCGCACCATTGGCTTGGTGCGAGGGGCAGGAACAGGCCGGGCCGGGCTGGCGACGCGCATCACAGGCTTGGTGCGAGGGACAGGAACAGGCCGGACCGCACTGGGAACACACACCACTGGCCTTGTGCGGGGATCAGGAACGGGCCGGACCGGACTGGTAACACACCTCAGTACCTCTCGCCGTGCCTCTACACTTTCCTTCCCTCTAATGACCAATGGCCCCCGTAACCTGGTGGCCTTCTCTCCTCGTCCACAAACTCGCCCTTTATCTGACTCCAGCAGCCCCGTCGTCCATGCCATGTGCCCCCCCCAAAAAAAATGTATTGGGGGTGCCTCTCGCCTGTCCGACGACGGCCCGGTTGGCGCCGCTTCTCCTCTCCTGCCTGGGTCTCCCCCTTCATCGCCCTCCGGTAACGGACGGCCTCCTCCTCTGTGATCTGCCCCCAACCGAGGAGGACATCCACTAACGTTACCTCCGGTGATTGCTCCTGGGCACGCTGCTTGGTCCTGTATTGGTGGGATCTTCTGTCACGATCGTCATAATGATTGGACCAAGGCGCAGCGTGATATGCGTACATCTTTTTAATAGTGTACTGGCAACACGATACAAAATACAAAACAACAAAACGAAACGTGAAGTCCTCGGTTAACAACACAAACCAACACGGAACAAGATCCCACAAAACACAAGTGCACCACAGGCTGCCTAAGTATGGTTCCCAATCAGAGACAACAAGCAACAGCTGATTCTCGTTGCCTCTGATTGAGAACCACCCCGGCCAACCTAGAAAACACATGAACTAGAAACTGAACATAGAACACAAAACATAGACCCTACACACCCTGGCTCAACATATAAGAGTCCCCAGAGCCAGGGCGTGACAACTACGGATTGCAACTGCACATGGGGACAAAGATGTCCTCTGGTCTGATAAAACAAAAATATAACTGTTTGGCCATAATGACCATCATTATGTTTGGAGGAAAAAGGGGGTTGCTTGCAAGCTGAAGAACACCATCCCAACCGTAAAGCACGGGGGTGGCAGCATCATGCTGTGGGGATGCTTTGCTGCAGGAGGGATGGTGCACTTCACAAAATAGATGGCATCACGAGAAAGGAAAATTATGTGGATATATTGAAGCAACATCTCAAGACATCAGTCAGGAAGTTAAAGCTTGGTCGCAAATGGGTCTTCCAAATGGACAATGACCCCAAGCATACTTCAAAAGTTGTGGCAAAATGGCTTAAGGACAACAAAGTCAAGGTATTGGAGTGGCTTTCACACAGCCCTGACCTCAATCCTATAGAAAATGTGTGGGCAGAACTGAAAAAGCATGTGCGAGCAAGAAGGCCTACAAACCTGACTCAGTTACACCAGCTCTGTCAGGAGGAATGGGCCAGAATTCACCCAACTTATTGTGGGAAGCTTGTGGAAGGCTACCCGAAACGTTTGACCCAAGTTAAACAATTTAAAGGCAATGCTACTAAATACTAATTGAGTGTATGTAAACTTCTGACCCACTGGGAATGTGATGAAAGAAATAAAAGCTTAAATAAATAAAATACTATTATTCTGACATTTCACATTCTTAAAATAAAGTGGTGATCCTAACTGACCTAAGACAGGGCATTTTTACTAGGATTAAATGTCAGGAATTGTGAAAAACTGAGTTTAAATGTATTTGGCTAAGGTGTATGTAAACATCTGACTTCAACTGTAGACAGGTGTGTCCAATCAATTGAATTAACCACAGGTGGACTCCAATCAAGTTGTAGATACATCTCAAGGATGATCAACGGAAACAGGATGCACCTGAGCTCAATTTCGAGTTTCATAGAAAAGGGTCTGAATACTTATTTAAATAAGGTATTGCTGTTTTTATTTTTGTATCAATTTGCAAAAATGTATAAAAATCTGTTTTCGCTTTGTCATTATGGGGTATTGTGTGTAGATTGCTGAGGATGATTTTTTTAAATCCATTTTTTTTAAAGGGCTGTAACGTAACAAAATGTGGAAAAAGTTAAGGGATCTGAATACTTTCCGAAGGCACTGTATGTCATCTCGCTGAGTTTACCTTTAAACCTAACCTAACCTATGACCTGACCCATCACCTTATGCATTACTGGCCCACGGTGGCAAAAACTGACATCCCAAAAAATACACAAACTATAAAACACATAAATGGCTCCCAGCCTCCCATGCATATGCTACTTCCTGCCCCTAACACTAAAATTTAAACTGAAACTAAATATAAAACTAAATATAAACTTTTTTCTTTACTGAATAAAAACGAGTAAATCAGAAAACATGTTAACTAATAGAAATAAAAATGAATATAAAATAAGAAAATTATATTAACCTTGGTTCAGTGAACAGACACAACTTCAGTATGTTATTTCCCTCTGGCAGTAGGCCTACAGTTGGTAGGGCACAGTTCTCCCCAAATAATGTAAGAGTGGCACTGCGCCACCTTGTGCACTGGCTGCGTCACTATGTAATAAATACAATAATGTTTTCATTTAAAGCCAGGGTTTTTTTTAAAGCCCCCACCGTACTCAGCAGCACCACCTTGTTAAAAAATCAAGGGGAGAACCCTGCATGGGTCCTGTCTTTCAATCCCATCCTTCATGGGGACGACTCCAATTCAATCATGAAGTGACTTGGCATTAATTTTCAGCAGCAAGTGTCAGCCAGAGTTGGTCTGTCATCTTAAGACACACTTTTTAACCTTTAAGCTACTTCCTACTGTAAGTGTCTGCAATGAAAGACTTATTGAAAACTCAAGAGAACTCTAGCTGCACTGTGTGAAATGTAGAAGTTAATTGTAGTAGTTTATTCATTATTTGCTCGTAGTTCAATAGGGTCAGTTACATGGACGAAACTGCAGCATTATGGGGCCTGTTGCAATCTGGGATCTCTAGTCATGTAGTATTGATGATGCTGTGTCACTGTAGTGGGCTTAGGTGGTGAACCACATTCTTAGCATTCCTGAGGTAAAAACAGCTCTTTGATAGGAGAGTCTACTTCAGCTCTCCTCTAAATTGGCCGAGTGGGCCCAGTAGTCCAGAGCATTAGGGAGATCATGTTATTAGGGAGATCACGTTATTGTCACCTTTGGGAGACACAAATGTTCACTTCACTCTGCTGGGCTAAGGTTGGGCTGGGTGGTTTATTATAGAAAAACACCCTTTATACTTCACATTACATATGGCCCTGAGCACACAGGAACACAAACACACGCATGCACACACACACCAAATGACCCTGCTGAAACAGTGCTAACCCCTCTATAACTGGCTATCGTTACGCAAGAGCGCAATTTTTATTAATGCATTTTTTCTGTGTTGGTAGCAGGCAGCAGATAGGAGTGAAGTGTAATGAACCCCCTAGGAGACATGGACACCGATGGCTAACCATCTAATTGAGCTGCTTTTTTATCGCCAGAGCATACGACCTCTCCCTTTATGTGATGACGAGCCACTCTTTGACTTTCTCTCTCTCTCTCTATCTCTCTCCATCCATCCATCTCTTTTTTCTGTCTTTAGTACAGATCTCCCCCTGGTCACCGGTCGCCTGGGAGACAGCAGAAGTGACATTGGGACGGGGGCGCGTGAGTATCGTGTTGTCACTATGACTGAAGTTGCCCTAATGAACCCTAAACAGACTAGCAGAATGAGAGAGAGGGAGGGGGAGAGAGAGAGGGAGAGAGAGAGAGAGAGAGAGAGAGAGAGAGAGAGAGAGAGAGAGAGAGAGAGAGAGAGAGAGAGAGAGAGAGAGAGAGAGAGAGAGAGAGAGAGAGAGAGAGAGAGACTAGAGCAGAGAGAGATCTATGACCCACTGTAAGCCTAATGCTTTTGGTCAGTGTATGAGTTTATGTTTACTAACAGTGAGAGATCTAGCAGGAAGTCTAGTACTGTACACATCTCTGAGGGGGTTTGGGGGACACTATTCTCTTTTCTAGACCCCCTCTCACTGACCAGGTCAGGTGTGGCTCAGTGGCTGTGGTGTCCATTCTACCTCAGCTGTGTCCACTTCGTACAGTGAGTTGATGCTGTGTTGTGCAGTGCTGTGCTCCGGGGCCCCTTGGCTCTCACTCTCCTCTGTCTCAGCGAAGGACATCAGCGTGGAGCTGCACGCATGCTTCCTGTGACTGCTCTGCTGGGCCTCCCTTGGAACACATGTCATACACATCATATCGCATACAAACATCATATACACACACATCATTCACATCAAATCACATATGTGAACATCACACACATATCACATACATGAATCACACACACAGACAGACACAGGTCATATCAAATACACGCATCGTAGGCCTATACACACATCATACACATCACGCACCATGGGCAGTATGACATACAGTTATTCACACTAATATATTATGTCAAAACATACAATGACAGACTACACTATATGGTACAGTAACCACAGTGATAGGTCAATGAACACTGTTACACACCAACGCAACATATTGCATACAGACTTAGAATCTTAATTTGATCACCCTGTTGCAGAATTATTTTAAAACTTTTAGTGTATTTGAGTTTTAAAAAGGCTTCTAAAGTTTGTAATTTTCACTTTGAAATTACAGACTTGATTTTCCCTTATGAAAAATGTATCAACCCCTACAAAAATGTTCATTCATTATAATCCAAATAATAATTCACTTTTCCTGTTGCTACAGAATAATTTTCCTGCTGTAGGAAACTGGCTAGAATTAAGATCATACATCTGTAATATTCATGGGGGAACAATGAAAGAGTTAGGGGAGAGAGCATCGAAACATTCAGCATAGATTAGGTCTAGTTCACCTAGTGGACATACAGTACATGCTCTCCTACAGTGCCTTCAGAAAGTATTCACACCCCTTGACTTTTTCAAAATTGTGTTGTGTTACAAAGTAGAATTCAAAAATATTTAATTGTCATTTTTAGTCATTGATCTACACAAAATATTATAATTTAAAAGTGGAAGAAAAATTCTAACATTTGTAAAAAATCAAATCAAATAAAAAATAAAACTAATATATCTTGATTAGATAAGTATTCAACCCCCTGAGTCAATACGTTAGAATCACTTTTGCCAGCAATTACAACTGTGAGTCTTTCTGGGTAAGTCTGTAAGAGCTTTGCATACCTGGATTGTACAATATTTGCAGATGATTCTTTAAAAAATTCTTCGAGCTCTGTCAAGTTGGTTGTTGATCTTTGCTAGACAGTCATTTTTAAGTCTTGCCACAGATTTTCAAGTCAGTTTAAGTCAAAACTGTAACTAGGCCACTCAGGAACATTCAATGTCATCTTGGTAAGCAACTCCAATGTATATATTTGTATTTTAGGTTATTGTCCTGCTGAAAGGTGAATTTGTCTCCCAGTGTCTGTTGGAAAGCAGATTTTGCAGATTTTGCCTGTTCTTAGCTCTATTCCATTTATTTTTGTCATAAAAACTCCCTTGCCGATGACAAGCATACCCATAACATGATGCAGCCACCACCATGCTTGAAAATATGAAGAGTGGAACTCAGTGATGTGTTGTGTGGGATATGCCCCAAACATAACTATTTCTATTCAGGACATAAAGTTAATTTCTTTGCCACACCTTTTCCAGTTTTAATTTAATGCCTTATTGCAAACAGGATGCATGTTTTGGAATATTTGTATTCTGTACAGGATTCCTTCTTTTCACTCTGTCAATTGAATTAGTCTTGTGGAGTATCTACAATGTTGTTGATCCATCCACATTTTTCTCCTATCACAGCCATTCAACTCTGTAACTGTTTTATAGTCACCATTGGCTTGGTGAAATCACTGAGCGGTTTCCTACCTCTCCAGCAACTGAGTTAGGAAGGACGCCTCTATCTTTGTAGTGACTGGGTGTATTGTTACACCATCCAAAGTGCAATTCATAACTTCACCATGCTCAAAGGGATATTCAATGTCTCCTTTTTTAATTTATGCTCTACCTATAGGTGCCCTTCTTTATGAGGCATTGGAAAACCTCCCTGATCTTTATGGTTAAATCTGTGTTTAAAATTCACTGCTCAACTGAGGGATCTTACAAGTAATATTATGTGTGGGGTACAGAGATGAGGTTAGATAGTGTTTAACATGATTTTTGAATGACTATTATTGCACACATGCAACTTCATATGTGACTTATTAAGCACATTTTTACTCCTGAACTTATTTAGGCATGCCATAACAAACAAGTTGAATACTTATTGACTCAAGACATTTCAGCTTCTCATTTATTATTAATTTGTAAAAATGTCTAAAAAATAATTCCACTTTGACATTTTGGGGTATTGTGTGTAGGCCAGCGACACACAATCTCAATTTAATCAATTTAAAATTCAAGCTGTAACACAACAAAATGTGGAAAAAGTCAAGGGGTGTGAATACTTTCTAAAGGCAATGTATCTGAGACATACAGATAACTATGTCCAGTAGCTGTCTGCATCTGAGGCATTAACTAGACTACTTAGGCCCACATTGCTAAAGAGCCTAACCAAGATGTTCTGACTCTACGGGGTATACTGCACGCACACACACACACACACACACACACACACTGGGCAGAGGAGTCTGGTCTGGTTAGACTCCACTGACTGCCTCAATTTGTCCATTCAGAATAAATCCACTGTGTGTTGTAGCTGTGTATGGTACATACATCTCAGAAAGCATGGTCAACAGCCTGTAGTTGAGGAAGGGGCTGGAGATCTCGATGAACTGCTCTGGTTTCACCACCAGTGGCTCTATGCAGAGAACAACACGTGTTATGATTTATAGTTTTCTAAGATGTAAATTGTTTTCGTCACAGTGTACTGATGTCAAAGCACCCCCACAACCTCTTAACTAAATCTCCTTCTTCCCTCTCACCATCCTTTCCTCCTCTCCCTCCATTTCCACCCTCCCTCTCCCCTCAGCCCTCTCTCACCCCCTCACCCCACCCCACTGTTGCGCAACACTTCCTCCCCTGCTTCACCCCTTACCCTCCATCCTAACCAACTTTCACCCCTCCCTCTCTCTTTCTCTCACCCCGGGGCTCGTCTGTAATTGTGGTCTCCTTGCGGGGTCGGATGAGTTTCCAGCGGGGCACAGGGGGTGGTTTGAGGGGCGGCACCAGAGGGCAGGCGCGGGTACGGGTCACCAGGACCGGGTGGCTGTAGAGCCGAGACAGACCGTAGTGCCGCAGCCGCTCCGACGAATCCGCCTGGAACACCACAGGAGATAGAAAGACTGTAGCTTCTAAGCACTGATACAGGGTCAGATCTTCTTCATGGTCCTAATGGCTAACGTTAGGATTGAGTATGGGTCTGTGGTTTAGGGGGAAGTTCTACAGTATATAGAGTTAAGAAACCAGGGATGAATCCTGGAATTATAATGGTGTATAAATTATGGAAGACGTGTGGCAAGGGTAACGATCCATATAGGGCAGAACATGCCCCAGAACAGAAGCCTTCGTTGGCACGTTTAATCTCCACCGCCCCCCCCCCGCTGGTTCTGAGGCCTGGGTACATTCGTATAGGCTATTACGGGTTGTAAGTTACATGGAAAGTGATCAGTTTCAGTGCACATTTTCTTAAATAAGGCCTCAGGCTAATTTACAACGAGAAATATACTTTTATCACCACAGCTGGATAGTTGGTAGTGCTTATGGTATTTATATGACGAATGTTGGACAGTACCATCTGTCCCAGTACAGAGGTCTTCTTCTCCAGGAGGTGTAGAGGCTGGTAGCTGGCACACACCACCATCTCTGGAGCAGGAGGGGGGTAAATACCTGACCAGGGCAGGAGACACATACACACACACACAGAGGGTTCAGGGGACATGCTTTTCATTTACAGGTCCAACAGAGGGGCATGACACCAACAATGGGAGGGGGGAAAGTGGGAGTGAGATATTTGAGTAGTACAGGGTAATAAATAAATAAAATCACTGGATCTGTGAGTGATATAGAAGCTGCATTCATAGAGAATTGAATGGAGAAGGAATGAGTCGTGCTGAATCTATGCAAGGTTAATAATACAACCAAATCTAAATAAAAATGCAAGGTAAATGTATCTATGATATCAATATAATGTTTTAGTGTGTGTGTGTGTGTGTGTGTGTGTGTGTGTCAGGCACAACATATTTAGGGATTGGTGCCAAATTATGTATATCACTGCATGTTAATCTCCCACATGTTAATTGGGTGAGAGAGAGGGAATGGGAGAGAGAGGGAATGAGAGAGAGAAACAAAAAAAAGGGAGTTTGAAAAAGAGTGTGTGCGTGTGCGAGCGTGCATGGGAAAACAAGGGTGCGATCATAAATTCATTTTGGCTATCTACTCGGATTCCAGAGCACTCTCGTTTGAGTGTGCCAGAGCACAGAATAGCTGATGAATTTACAAACACGCAACACCCATTGAATATGACAGGTGTCAGTAAAGGTTGGCAAAAAACTGAATTAAATTGTTGCTAGCAGCACAGTTACAGTCCCTAACGCTCCAGATAATATGAAAACAGCCTAACTAGCTCTTCTAGGTCGAGTAAAATGGTCAGTGAGGTGTTTCTCTCATTTGTGTCTGGAAGTAGCTAGCTAGCTAGCCAACTTTAGCCAGTTAGCTTGGGCGCTTGACTGCCGTTGTGAGGTCAGAACGCTCGGATCGACCCTACTCCTCGGCCAGAGCGTCCAGTGTGTGCTCTGAACGCTCCGAGAGCGAAACGCTCAGAATTTACGAACGGACAATCTGACAACGCTCTGAATTTATGAATGGCCCAGAGCGCACTCTGACACACTGGAGGCAATTTACAAATGCACCCCAAGACAGACAGAGAAAGAGGGAGGGGGCATGAGCTAAAGAGAACCCATGCAGACAGAACAGTTCAAAACAAATCACCCAGCACAGCAGTGTTTTAAATACACAAAACATCACTCTCCTGAGCGAATGACTGCAAACCACCTTTCCTGCATCATGATGTCCAACATGTAGTACCTTCAAGCCAACATAAAATAGAAAACTCTATATATTAACTTCAGTTACCACAGAAGTCATAACCTCAACAAGTGCAGCATTATTAGGCGACTTCCTGCTAGCTGGGTTAGGAGATTTTTTTTTTACAG